TATTTGATTTAGAATCTGTAGCAAGTCTAGAAATAATCAATGAGTACATATATTGATTTCTCTTTAAAATTTCAATATGAAAATTACTCAAGTTCAATATTGGCAGGTAAAAATCGAATTTTATATCCATCAAAATCAGTTCTTGAAGCTGTAATACGTAGAACTTCTTGCTCTTTTTGTTTAACAGTGATTGCTGATAATACTCCTCCGAATCGATATTTCGTATTCCATGAAGTTACGAGTGTATAATAAGTAGTTTCAAGTTCTCTGGTGATGAAATTGACCGCCGTTTCATATCCAATACGCTCACCTGTAAATCGATTTAAATCCACTATAAATTTCTTTTTTCCAATCTTAGGATCAATATCAATCGTTAAGTTTGTTCGTTCACCTTGACAATTCATTGAATAACTATCAGCATACGATTGGTTAACATCACACTTGTATGTTTTTTCAGCTGTACTATCATTTGCATTAAATGAATATTTTAAAACACCATTAAAACTTGTTTTCGAACGAATTGTTTCATCTTATTTAATCGATATTGGATTTTGTTGTGGAATATTTACTTTTAAATTCAGACTCATCGGTTTTTCATCAATTCGTTTTTGATATGAAAGATCAATATCAATAGCCTCTTCTCTCAAACGATTTAAATCAAATTTAACTGTATGTGGACCTAATGTTGGATCATGTTTTAAATCTAAATTTAATGTACCATCATACGTTACTTGACCCAACGGATTCGACAAACGTGGATCAGCGGTTAATTGAAGACGTTGCCGTAAACGTTGTATCAATACATTATTTGCTTTGATGTTAAACGTAGCTGTTTGACACACACCATAAATAACATATGATGGATTATTTGAACAACTAAACGAATCACTTGACCAAACAATAGCAGGTAGACCTTGACGTTCAACGTTAACATTAAATTTACGTTGAAATTGTCCCGAACGTTTATCAGTTATTTTTTGATTGAAACGAATATCTGTTGCGCCAGATTTTTGTCCTGTTTTCATATCGTTTAATGAAGTTTGAATTTGAATATCATTCCATTTACCATCTTCTTTTTCAATTGAACTTAAATAATTGAATGCACCGCGTTTGTTTGGTTGTAAAATTTTTCCTTCGATATTTGTTTTTGAACTAAAATTAGCATCACGTACACGACCAGTATGTGAATGATCAAATGAAAGTTCAACATGATTGGGAACTTTAATGTCTAATTTAGCAGCGTCACGACCCCAACTTATATCAAAGGTGCCTTTACTCTCCGAACTACTAGTACCTGTTCGAACGGTAATATCACCTTTATAGCAACGATAATATTTACCAGTTGCCGTACATTTTTTAGTATCAATATCTGACATTGTTGTTTCTTGTCCATCTGTTCGTTCCGTATGTCCTGTAAGTGAATCATTGTCTAAACCGACATCCATTTCATATGTATAATTTTGATTATCAGCTGTATTTAAAAGACCTCGTACGATAATTTGATGTTGTTTAAATAGAGCATACAATGAATTTTGAAATTCTTTTCCGTAAAATTTTGTACTTATTGTAGCACTAACTTGACTGACTAATCGAGGATTATATTGAGCAGTTAATGAACTATGCGTGGCAATATCATTACCGATACGTAAAGCTTTGACAAGATGAAGTGATGTATTTAGGGAACCTTTTGAATGAAGATAGAAGCTACTTGGAGCAATATTCTATTAGAAAAACAAAAAACAGAAAAGAATCGAATGAAAATAAAGATTTCATTTATCTTACTGATGAAGCAATTTTGAATCCAACAGATCCATCAGCTGTTGAATTATGATCTTTATTGAATAGAGGTAAGTTGTAGAAAATACGAAATGCAGTTAAATTTGTTAATGGAGTACCGAATTCAAAATGAATTCCGAATTCCTGTGGTAATTTCATTTTTCCAATATGATTTTCTCGATCCATGGTGAATTCTCCGATAATACTCAATGGATTTGACGATATTTGTGGACTCACTAATGAAAGTGCAATTTTTTTCGTTTTCGATGAAGATATAAAACCAATTGAATGTTTATGTAATAAATCTGAATTTCGTTTTAATAAACCGAATGAATGTAATCCTGCATCTCGTGACATATCTATTTTCGAAAGAGCGTATAAACTATTTCCATTAGCACGTAAATATTCAATTTCATTATCTATACGAATACGTGTTTTTTCTGAATGAAATGCATCCAGTAGGGCATAGTGTGCAAAAACTGGTTTAGCAATTAATCTTGATTCAAGAAAACTGAAAACACCGGTTTCTAATAAGCTTTCAATTTTTAAATCGTGTGTTATATATGGTAGATATTTAAATGGTAATGAAAATGAAATATGCGTTTGTAGTGTATTATCACCAGTTAGATTACGATAAAGAAAAGCATTTAAATTAATTTCTTTTAATTTTTTATTTGTTCGAATAGCGATTGAATTCCATGTTTCGAATTCACCTGATTGTTTTGTTAGATTACCGTCAAGATCAATTAATTGAAATAATCTATGTTTAGGTGCTTTTAATTTAACATCGTAAGAAGTTATTAATGATTTTGGTGAATCTTTCTTAGGTTGTTTATCGAAACGAAGATTTAAATCAAGTTCCATATCATTTTTATCGTCGACAAGATTCGTATCAATATCCCAATGTGATTTTAATGAATACGATCGTAGACAAACATCGAAAGTACCCGTACCTGTAACTTGTATTTGTTTATTATCCAATTGTAATTCAGATTTACTTGTACCAGAAAATACATGACCATGAGTAACTTTGTCGACTTGCGCATGATATGTAAATAATCCGGAACGTTGACGGCGAGGTAAATTGTATTGAAATTTATAATTGACTTCATTGAGTAATTGAAAATCAAGATCAGATAATACATCAAATGCAAATTGACGTGGTATGTCAGGAAATAATTTATCTGTATCGACAACAACATGAATCTTATTGTTGATGTCCAGAGTTGGTGGAAGCATTGCAGGTCCTAGGCAAAAACAAAACGAGAGAGAGAGAGACGATGATATCTTTTAAAGTATTACCAAAAGAAAACTATGAAATCAAACCTTTTTTCGATGATTCCGAACTCTTTCGATGTCGATGATCAAGAAGAAAATTTAAAAGATTTGATTTTGTTTTAACTTGAACTTTCAAATTAGCTTCCGGTGATGTGAGACGTTTTCCTTGATTAGTTGTTCGTACTGATCGTCTTATGTAATCGATTTCGATTATTTCTTGTACCGGTGGATTACGTGTTATAAGTAAATAATCAAGTGAACTTTGTAGTGTTGCATTGGATAAATCAATGGTACGAGTGAAATCTGTTTTGAGATTGAATAGCTTCATGAATACATCACTAGCTAGTGTTCGTAATGCAACATGGGATGCAATATTACAATTATTTTGAGTTGCTTCTTTATTTGTCTTACGTTCATAAAAAATTCGTATCCGGCTGCTGATGAACCTCGGCCTAATTTAAATAAACGTTGTAATTCAATACGTTCGAACGACAGTTTTCCATTATAAGATGTATCACCAAGATTAAAATCTCCATTGATATGAACTTTTTCTGAATTCGGTTTATATAAATTACCGCGAACTAATGAAACGATTACAAATAGAATACATGATTTTCATGAAAAACGAAAGCTTACATTGAATTTTAAATGATTTAGCTTTATCGGATGTTGTTAAACCAAAATTAGCTGTGAGACCTTGTCCACGATTTGGTAGATTATCAGTTGTTAATGTGACGACTTCTTTTTTGCTTGCAATATCAAAAAGTTTACTTTCCAATTTAAAACCATCGTTATTGATCGCCAATGTTCCAGATGTTGTCATCACTTCATTGTTGTTGTCACTTGAATATACTGTACCACTAAATGTCTCACCCGTTTGTGTACCTATTATGTGCAATAGAATGAGAAAAAAAAATTTTTTTTTTAATTTTACCTTGAACATTGAATGATTTCATGCCAGTTAAAATTTTAATATCGAATTTATTGCCATCTTTTGTAGCAGACAAACCCAAGCCTAAAAAAGCGACGTTTAATCGTACGTACAAGTCTATTTCAATATACCAGGATAGGATTGATTTGTGCCAACTTTTTCAATGATGACTTCATATTGTGGTGCTTCTTGCGCATTAAAACGCCAACCAAGACGCCAGTTTTTGATTGTTGGATCTCTGTTGACAGTTACCTAAAGACGAAAGATATGAATGATGTTTATTTTAATAGTTAAACTTACAGTTATTGGATATGAATTTCGTTTGCCAAATTGAATTGAACGGAAGGGATTAAGTTCTAAACATACTCGTACACCTAATGTACGATAAAAGGCACTCGGTGTACATGATGGATCAATATTGGGTGTTTTTGTATTTGGAACAAGTTCAAAACCGTCGGATGTGCGTGTTGCATATTGGAAGCTAGGCAGAAATAAAAGTATCATCATTGAAAAATCAAAATCGAATTCTTTACTCCATTGCAAAAAGTTTTGAATTCGACTTAAGAAGACTAAATTCACGTGTACGTCCTTGATTATTGACTTCCGTTTTATATTCAAATGGAAGATACGATAGAATGCCGATTTCAACTGTTTCACCAACAGTAGTCAATGGTGATGATACTTCACGTTGAAGTGTCAATGAAAAACTTAATCTAAAAGAAAAGAATAGAAACGTTTATTTTTTCATGTTTATAAAAAAAAGATATATAATTCAAACGTACGCTGATCGACTTGTCATTGAATATACTCCTAGTCCAGCGTCATTTTGAGTATTTCTTATATCAGTTGTTAAATCAACAAGTGCGGCAACTTGTGCTGATTTATATAATGCCAAACCATTAGCAGCTCCTGATACCGAACCGATTTCTAATGGTATACGAAATATAGGATCTTTGCCAGCGAGTTCGTTCAATCGTGTTAGTATTTGATTTCCAATAAATTTACGTAAACTACTACGGAGAATATCTTGAACTTTGTCTGTAATATCTCTAGCGCGCACATCTGTACCAAATAATCTCGAATAGAGATGGACAGATGGATTAGGATCTTCTTCTTTTTTATCACAAGTCTACGAAAATAAACAGAAGTTTTTATTTTTCTTGAGATTCAAAATTTACTCACATCTTGATGTTGTTTTAAACTAGAGGGTATGTTAGTCTTTATACAGATATCAAGATATACTATGAACTAAAGAGTGAAAGAACGAAAGAATTTAAACTACTTAGTGAATATATCTATATCCAATAAATGTCGTCATAGTTCAAGAACAAATAGATAATAAGTTTGAGTGGAGGTCTAGTTTAACTTTCATTTAAAAGTCTTAATACAACAGATGTCTCCACGATTATGAGTGTTTGTATTCCTATTTTTAGATGACTGAAATTAATTAATGAAATATTCGTCTTACGAACCATTCTGTAGTACTACTGATGTCTATCTTACAAAACACAAAAGTTGCATTTTGAATGTGAATATTTCGAAGCTGTCATTTAATTTTCTTTTTTTTATATTTCAGTCATCTTTATATGCGATTTACTAATTACAAACTAGAACAAATTGCAATCTTGTATTTCTAGTTTTACATAAATAAAACTAATGAATGAAACATTATGATCCCGTGTTTTGGCTGATTTAAATTGTATTACTGATGTTTTCAAGAATACACGAACAGTGAAAAGTTGTATATTGCGTATTGATATTCTAAAAAACATTCATTTATTTTTCTTTCTATGTATATGTTGTAGCAAATCAAACGAAATTAATGTTCATTTATTCTCAATCTTCAATCATGATTATTTTCCAGGTCTTGCTTATTTCATTTAACCTTCGCGTTATCTCTTCAGCTTTTTCCTTTTTTTGTCGTACTAAGTAAAATAATTCTTATTCTGTTCGATTTAATATTTGCTTTTATTCTTAGATATTTTAAAAGTACTCATGATTAAATAAAATGATGATTTGATTCAATTAGAAGATTATGATGAATATCAAATATCAATACTTGTTTGGTAAGACATTCATAAAAATAATGCGAATTAGGAACGATTTTGTTTTTATTTAATTAGATATAAAATGACATATTTTGTACAACATCATCATCTAATAATTAAATTTTGATTTTACTTGATGATGTAAATTCAATTAATTTTTGTTTTGATAAAAAGTTTTCATTTATATTTTTAGCCATTAAGTATTTCAACAAAATAATTAATACGCAAGAGAAAATAACTATGGAAATAATTTCATTAATCAATTCTATTTTTTATTTTGATCAATACTTCTGATAATTTTTTTTTATTTCAACGTCATTCATTTAGACAATTATTATGTATGTTGAACATTATTTATGCTTGAATCAGTGATCCATTATCAATTGTTAACTGAATTATTTGGGATATCGACACAGATAAAAAAAAAGAATTACTATCAAAATCTCGACAAAAACATTTTGAAAAGAAATATGCATATGAATCATATATCATCAGTAATCTATGCACTCCTAGTCGTTATTAAACATTGGCCATTCGTATTACACATAAATATTTCGCAATTAGCATTTAAATCTTACTTAAATCACGAACAGAATTTTCAATATTATCATATCTAGATATGTGCAATAAATGCTGTTGTAGTTCATCTTTTTTTATAGATTTTTAATCATGAATACTGATGTATCTCTTACTCGACTATTGAACGATAATATGCATCAAATAAAAACGAGATTTGATTATTTGGTCGTTTATTTTCATCGGTGGTTATTAGGAAAAGATTTTTTTCCAATTAATAAGAACCAGGTAGAAAAATTTATTTGATTTATTCAAGTTTTACATACTTTCTAAAGCAGGTATGGATTATATGTTTTTCAAATATACAATCCGATGGTTCAATATTACTTGAGTACCGAAAGGATGATATCAATGTATCATTTTTATTGCTTAATACAGGAAACGTACTTGATATATCTGTTCAAGCAAGTGTACTAGATAATGAAATAAATTATACGCTTTTAATTATTTCTAGGGTCAAGGAAGTGAATATCAAACTACAATGCAAAGCATTGTCATTGATCAATATGTTCAAGAAAATAGTGGTAATTTTAGGTATGTAAATACTATCTCATATTTTTGCTCTATTTAAAAACTCGACAAATTGTGTTTTAGTTATAAAGATAACGAATTACCTGATCTTCGAGATCGTTTACGCAAAAAGTTTTATAATGTAACATCATTAATCAAACAAAAAATGATACATGCTTCAACTGATACAAGTACGTTTATTTATTATAATGAAAAAGATTAAATTGTAAATTTCTTTTTAGGTCGGCCATCATCAATGCCAGTTACGACCGTTGATGCTAAAGGATATTCAAATTCTTGTGTTCCTAAACCATCAACATTGTCATCTGCTAGTGATTTGTAAGTATTACGATTAGAGATATACAGGACCACGATTTTTAGTCTGGTAAAGGTTTTTGTTGGTTTAGCTTTCGATTCCGATTCTGATAGAGTTTCGCTTTTGATTTCAATCCTAGTCATGGTCCTAGTAATGTGGTTTTTTAATAGTTTAATAGAGTACTCTTTAAAGTTTTATTCAGCAAATTTTTGATAAAATATTTTTGTCTAATTGTTTTCAATCAATATTAAAAAGAAAAACAAATTAAAATTCAATAAATTCTATTATTTTTTTCTAGTATGGAAAAAGATTATTATCGAATTCTGGGTGTACATCGAAGAGCATCAAATCGTGATATAATATCGGCGTATGTAAAAAAACAATTATTAAATAAATGTATTTTATTTTTATTTTCATTGGTTACATAGTTATCAGCAACTTGCTTCTGAATTTCATCTGAGTCGAAATCCAACTGATTTTAATGATCTTGGAGAAGCGTATGATGTATTAATTGATAGTATGTATGCATACTTATATTTAATAAATAATCATCTTTGTTCCTCTTTGTTTTATTAAGGTAACAAACGCGGTATTTATGATAGATATGGTATTCAAGGTTTAAAAACTGGTGTACTAATAGGACCAAACAATGAATTGACTGAACGTTATGTATTTCATGGTGATGGTCATAAAGTTTTTCAAGATTTTTTTACGTGATAATAATCCATATGAGAGTAAATATGAAACCAAAAAATATTAAATACAATGATTTACTTATAGATTTATATGCAAGTGCATATGCACGTGCTGCTGAACCAGCTGCTCATGATCTAAAAAGAAAACATGGTGCACCATTATACCGTGATCTTGAAGTTTCACTTGAAAATTGTTATTATGGTGGAACGTTTGATGTTACAATTACACGACGAGTAAGAATTGTCGACTTCTACATATATACATTCTTCTTTGGAAGATTATAATAGAAATTTGTTTTTTGCTTGGTTCTTTTATTTAGGTAATGCTTGTTGATGGTACATCAACTACTCCTCAAAAAGTTGTTCCAATAACCATTGAGCGTGGCTGTCTACCAGGTACAAAAATATTCCTTGAAGGTGAAGGCGATCAATATTGAGATGGTACGTCATCTGATCTTATAATAGTTATAAGAGATCTAGAACATCCACGTTTTCGTCGTGAAAATGTTGATCTTATTTATAAAGCTACAATAAGTTTAGAAGAAGAATTAACAGGTACAAAATTATATATTCAACATCTTGATGGAAGACAACTTGAAGTGCCCATCAATGAAATTGTTGCGTAAGAAAATTAACTTGTTTTAAAAAAGGAATTTTTTTTTTATTAGATCGGGATTGAAACAACGCATACCTAATGAAGGTATGCCATCAACATCAAATCCCGGTGCATATGGAGATTTGATTATTGGATTTTCATTTTAATATCCAAATAAAATGAAAGAAAAAAAAACATCGTCAATTCCTTTTTTTTTGAAATGTTAATAGTAAAATCTATTGATTGATATAAGACAAATTGGGTGTGGAAATGGGTATAGGTGTCTTCTTCTAAAGCCACACCCTCAAGATCTATCAGACTATCGCTTGAAGGCAAATAATTATGAAAGTGCAGAATTCAACAGAACAAGGATAGGTGGTACATAGTACATATTTTTCAATAATGCTCATGATTGAAATTATCGAAGAAAACATCTCAATCAGTAAAATGATCTCTAATTGCTTCTAGATTCAAAACTCCAATGAGAAAACTCATAAATCTTACTACCATTACTTTCTTTAATAGTGCTTGACTCTTTGCACTCGATAATTGATTTTCCTTTTCGCTCAGTTTTCGATAGATTTTCATTTTAATAAAATTATTAGAACAAAACCAATCGTGAAAAATGACATCGCATAGTTACAGCTATTGTAGTTAAACGTGTTTGCATTCATGTAATCTTCATACTATATTGAGTTCGAATCAACTAACACACTAGTCAATGAAATAAGTACGAGTAATCGAACATATTACCCGTCGAACTTAACAAAACAAAAAATAATGAAATAAATAAGAAATAAAAGTAATAGAAATAAAACAAATACTATTTTAAACATAACTTTTTCGGATTCACATTATTCATGGATTTAACAACATATACATAATGAATACGATTCTTATTCTATTGGTTATGCCTGAAAATTGAAAATTACTTGCTTGAAAATACACGTATATTTTAAACGAACAGGAGATATGATATTCACATCAGATTCCTCTTAAAATACTTATTGATAGCTGCAACGTTAGAGAATGACCAATGTGAAAAAATTGATAGCTAATAAAAATTACCACAAAAGGACAGACCAATCCATAAAGTCTTGGTTTATTAAATTTTCAACATAAGATCTTTGAAAACATTTAAAGATTCCAGCTTTATTTTTGCAGTTTTCGACGAAAAATTTCAACATATAATCTTTATGAAGCGACTCTTTTTTTTTTCATTGTAAAAAATCATATATTTTTATTCATTTACTGGTTTGTTCGCTTTATGATATCTCAATGTCGGGAAGCAATTCGTTCCAAACAGGATATATATCAACGAGTATATTCTTGAATAAATATATTCCACTTACTAGATTTTATCTCATTTGATTATGTTAAAAGTCTTACTCTAATAGTTCGATATTATTATCAATCTGCACAATAGTAAAATTAAAAAACATCTAATAAAGAATTTCTATAGTCTTTTTGTTTCCAAGACGATTGACTATTATGAAGACGTTTCCTAAGGCAAAATTTAACATATAACAAAATTTGTACTCCAATCCCTAGTCGAGAGTCACTTTATGAATCCCTAGGGAATCCCCGAAAAAGTGTGAAGTCCCCGGGGATTCACCGGTGACTCACCGAGAAATCCTCAGGGAGTCCCCCTAAATTTACACGACGTAAGGAGCTCCTGGGGATTCCCTAAGTAATCCGCAGGGAATCCCTAGGGACTTATGAGGGAGGGCAAGAATGTATTCACCGTTTTCTTTTGCACGCATTAAAGTATATAAGAAACTTAAGATTCAGAGGAAAAGTATAATTTATTTTTAATATTAACTTCTTCTAAACGATAAACAGTATTTGAACTTCTACCTGAGGTACCTCACGGACAACTCATCATTTCGAAATGAGTTGGAATTTAATCTACCGGAGTCATCCGCTAAGACGGAGTCTCCTGAAAAGCTTGAATGGGAGATACTCTGGGAAAATGAAGAGATCTTCTTCGAAAAAATATGTTTCAGTTGATACAAACAGAAAAAAGTTAAGAAACTGTGAAAGAATGATTTGGACCCTTAAAGCACCACAATGCGCTTTAAGGGAGTCCCCGGAGATTTTTCAGGGACTCCCTATAAACTCCCTTAGAAATCCCCCGGGACTCCCTGTCGGGAATCACCGGGGATTTTTTGGGGGGATTCCCTCGGGACTTGTGGAGTGAGTGTGGATTAGGGTGTTTGATAAAATTTCATCACGTGTGTATATTGCCATTGTCATTTTACGAAGAAACGAACGAATGGAGGTTAAATCGTGTTTGAATTGCATCAAATTAGTATTTTGAAACATCTAATAAAAAACAATAAATACAAGTGACAAATTTTATCAAGGTATGCCATGTATGACGTACTACAGTTTGTTTTGTTGGTGCTGCATCACTGGTACAAGATGAATGAATAAGCGAATTTCGTAATGACGGGGAGACGATTGTACTACTTGTTGCAGCTTTAGGTACAACATGCTTGAAAAGCATGCGATTTTCAAAGAAAAGCAAGAAATAAAAATAAAAAACTTGAGTTATAACACCTACATTTCGAATATTTTTTATTATTTTCGATGATGATTTCAATTGCATCATGATCGATCTTATATCTTCACCAAAAGTATTCACGTAAACTATTAAACTATTTAAAGTTTTTTCAATGTTTGTTAAACGGTCAGCTATAGATAGAAAAAGAAATTATACGTAAAATATTCCTTTTGAGCAAGTTCTTTCAGTAGTTTACTTTTATACAACAAAAAAATAAACGAATGCATACCTGGAGACGTTGTATCAGATGACAATGTTGATAACAATGGTAGTGTGACTTTTTTTCCATGATTGTGTTTATTTTTAGATTTTGTATTTGGTGTGGTGTTTTGTGTAGCTTTAGGAAGCCCTGATTCATGTAGCATCGTTGAAGCTGGTGGTAAATCTATAAAAAAAAATACAACCAAGTTTACTAGTGTTAATAATATTTTATATTCTATGTTCAGCTTTGACATACAACGCAGACTTTAAACTGCACAAAAGAATTATATGTATACTTTAGTGTTTTTGCAAATGAATATTGACTGTTTTTCTGTTTTAGTAAGCTAAGTGCAACTCACCAAAGGAAGCTTCATTCAACAAACTCGAACTAGTAAAATGATCCATTTCCCGTGGTATGACAACTTCTATTGGATCTAAATATAACAAACAGCACAAAATATTTCGTCAAATAAATGAAGATAGCTTACCATAACGTGAAGACACTGATTCGGGATATTGAATTACTTCAATTGTTGATGTACGTTCATTATTTCTAGGCGGTTCATGATATGTACGTGTAACATTGGATATTGTTGCTTGTGTTGAAACGGGATTTGTTACTTCATAATTAAAGAAAAAAATGTACAGTTGTATTTGACATCATGTAAGTATAGTCAAGTAAACTTGATATGAAATTTTTGTAATTTAAAGAACTAGGATTTTAATCTTTTACACATCGAAAGTCTTTTCTTATCTTTTGAGATTTTTACTCTACGCGTCGTCATTTAGAAATGACAAATATCATGTACCTTTCTCAAATATATGTCGATGTAATTCAGAATAATTTCCTTTTAAATACTTTGAATTTGATTTGTGATTCTTTTTTTTTCGGTTTTTCGCTGAAATGAAAATAGAAATTGTACATGTTCGCATAAGGATAATACAAATGAAAACAATGTACGGTGAACAGCATGTTCATTTGTTAATAAAGTATCGTGAATGTTGCCATTGTTATCATCATTGTCGTCGTCATCGTCGTCGTCTTCTTCTTCTTCAGGTAATGATGAATACCAATAATCTGTTGAATAACCATTCATTTGTTTCATTACTTTATCACATAAACTTTTAGACCCTATAAAAAACAACTCAATTTATTATAGGCTACAATTCTCTTAGTAAAAGTAAAATTCTAGAAAACTTACCAACAGTAACTAATTCTCCATTAAAATGTTTTCCACCATATACATAAGCAACTTTATCATCGCGAATATTGCATTTATCAAGTGGTGCAATCATCAATTCACTATTAATAGTATTTTTGAACAAGACGTGTGTTAAAGCATTGGTCCTTGTAGTCATGATATATCTATAAGTAGAACAAAACAACTATCAAAGTAGTATATCTGTTATATCAGAGTTGCAAGCAACTCAAGAAAAATGATTAACGAAAGCTTTTTGTATCTTTTTTCTCTTTTCTTCTATGTTTCATCTAGTTTTAAATGGATACACTGCTCTTCTCATAAATGGAAACAATGCACATATGCATGCTACTCAAGCGGAGGATTATTGTGATCTTTCAATCAACTACGTTGATTTCGTTATTGTCTTGTTGCTTGTTAAGTTATAAGTTGCTGATTTTTCAACGACATGTGACCATCCGTAAAAATGAACATCTGATCTATGTTTCTATATATATATGATAACAATAATAAAATATCTTTCACTTTTTCATAAATGAGTAGTAACCATTTACAGACAGTTCATTTATCTATAATAGAAAAAAATATATAGATAAATATATTTGGTAGATGAATAAAATACAAAGACACAATATTGGATAACTATGCTGAATAAAGATTATCATCTTTTATTTGTTCAGATTTCATATATATAAAATAATGTTAATCATGTTCATAAGTGCAAAGAATTTCTGAAAATAGACATGCATCGCGAAATGGAATCACAACACAATGGTGCAAAATTTGTTGTACACGTATGATGGAAAGATCAAACATATCAATGTCCATAACACTGAAAAATCTATTAAGAAATGAATGGGCAATATTTCCCAGTTGATCAGTGCGTGTTGTTCTTAGAACTTTATTAATACATTGTAAGGATTTAATAAATGCATAGGTTATATTTTCATATTCAAAATACCAAATAATAATTGCAAAGCATTTTTTTTTGTTTACAGGACATAGTGCATTTTTGAAAGAAACTATATTAGTCAATTGCGAACTGATTCTATTATACAATAATGAACTAAACTTAACCATGCCACGTTGATACCGACAATATACAGAAAAATTTTCATCTATTTTCTCGTTAAATTGAAGTTGAAATAATTTTTGAAATGGAATGAAATAATTTTGATGAACATTTAAATTTAAGTAAGAATTATCGGAGATTTTTTCGTCTAAAAATATGCTATTAACAGTGGTTTTTGGATGCTCATCATTCAATATACAATCACGTAATAAATACGATTTTAATATTTGATATGGTATTCTCCGGTTGCCTCTTCTACTTCTTTTTAAGGTTCCCAAAAAGCTTTCATCACCGAAACATCCATGTGCAAATAAAGCTCCATGTGATAATACTTGTTCAATAAGATATTTATGGGCATGTAAGCTGTACAATTGAAGTTTTTCATCACCATATATGTGTGAAATGTCTTCACGATATTTATCTAGAAGAGGCTTCACGATCATAACGTCTTGGATGCTTTCATAGAAATGCAAAACTCGAATACTAACGAAGTAAAGCATAAAATGATCAATAACTTCATCTGTTCCATATGCAAGTATTAATGGAAATGATATAAAGAGCAAGAAGAAACGATAATCCTTGGATTTCCAAAAATTTAGACAGTTTAACGATGTAATACTTAATGAATCAACAGGAATAATAATCTTCTCCATGAAACACGATAAATTACTAAGACCATATTTCTTTATCCAAATATTCAATATTGAAGACATATGTGTGCTGATATAATCTTTTTATGTAAAATAGCATTATTGAAACAAAATCATAGGAAGTCTCATATGCATGATATATCTCATTCAATCTTAGAATTTTGTGAATACTCAAAATAGCTGTACCTTGAATTAGATTTTGTAAACAAAATTTTCTATTTTCCCTTTACAGCACAGTAATGAAATCAAATATTTAATCTTAAAAAACTATAATATGAACTTACCTACAACACAGATGCATGTAATCAAATGGACAATTGATTTGTACGTTGAAAAATAATGATAATAATGGTGATTTTCCATGTATACCAAAAACAGAAATTTGATTTTCATTACGTTCAGCTTCTATTGCGGCAGATAGATAATCATGATGAGAACGAGTTGCTTGCTTGTCTATATAATCATAATAAACATATGTTCCTCCCATAGTTTTTCCATGTTGAAAGCAGTTTGAACAACAGTAATATCCATTGTGCTGCTTTATACAAATGGATAATGAACGACATGGAAGATCTGCTTTGAATAGTTGAAATCTAATACTAAACTTTTGACCGCCAATTATGATCCATTTTGCGATAATCAATTGTCTTATTTGTTGGCACAAATGATCATATAAAATTGATGGTGTAGGTTCATTTTCAGAAAAATAAACTAAAAACAGAAGTTTATTTCGAGCATATTCACGATGTGGTGGAGGAATTTCTAATATTGTTCCTGTCACTACATAGCATTTTTTACGTTTTGTTGTCACTATCTGGATGCCATCTGCGTGTAGCATTAATGTTAAACGATTAAATTTACTATTACTATGAATGTGTTGATAAGCAGCACTATTTACAATGTCATTAGGTAAAAGTAGTTCTGCACGTTGCTGATATTCTAATATTAAAGTTAAATTGCGTTTGACAACATTTTTTATTCGTTTCAGAACATTAGCTTCGCCAATTTCCGTTAAACAATCACTTGTTCTTTCTTTGCCATAGTAACGACATGTAGATAAACATTTACCTTCGGCAGGTTTTACCTAAATACAAATAATAGAGATATAGAAGTGCCATCATCAATAAGAATGATCTATGAGTTCGCTTGGTAATAAAAATATATTATCAAAAATCTGCTTAATAAATGAATCCAACATGAACAACATATTGAAAGAAATTATTTTCATAATGACATATACACCAAGACAAAGTTGATGAAAAAACAGAAAAAAATATTGAACAATAAAATGTCGAAATGCAATGGAGAGTGCTACATATGTGGTCATTTTTTATTTCGATATTTTTTTTCCACTTTTTTCCATCACTCCCCTTGAGAAATTAATCATTTAAACCAATGAAAAAAGCGGGTATTCTTAATAATAGTTGGTCGATAGTTAATCTTTATACAAAACACAAAATTCTCATCGGTATATATGCGGATTTATCCACAAACGAAGAAACTTCTTATACTTAATCAATTAAGCGTATATATCTATCTAGTCATTTTAAAATTAATTTATTTTATATGAAACGCATTGTGTAATTACTTGCTGATTGCAATTAATACATAATGTAGTATAAGTAAAATTTTCATGTCTTTTCTGCGCATGCAGAATGCCTGATTTTGTTAATCGATGTCCAGAAGGTAATAAAAATAAAAATAATTCGATTAATTGTAGAATATGTGTATGATTTAAATTACATTTGATAATGAAATTTTTGATAGCTGCATATGCTTTATAAAGAGGAATTGAACCATTTGAATAAAGAAGAGTATCGATATCATCATCAAAATCACTTTCATAACTTATATAAGAATCAGTTTCTGTCTCATACTCACTGGAATTGCTGACATTGTTATTGAAAGCAATATCATTTAAATCATTTAGTTCTTGTTCGTCGGTATGTGTTGTGATAATTTGATCTGCATAACTATTTATTTCGTTGTTTGTTATTTGATTATTATCATTAACATTTACTTGGTGATGATCCTGAAGGATTACTTCCATGTCCTGCAAACGACTTGAAACGTTAGAAATACGTTGTCGATAAGTTTTACAGTAGTCGGCATTTGTAGTCATAACTGAAATATCTGAAATGAAAAACATGTTCTTATTCCGTAGAAATAAGAAGTTTTATTGAACACAAGAATAGCATTAGACAATATCATAAATATAAAAGCGATGGAGCAGCTTAGAAAACAAAGAATTTTATACGTGCACATTTTATCTCTAATCGATACTTTAATATTATTTTTTTTATTTCTGAATCTACAATATAAATTGCCGACTATTAAATCTTTTCTTTCTTTTATATCTTTGTTAGAACATATTTTCATTTTCACAATCAATGATTTGACTGATTTTTCCTTTGTTCGAAAATACTGAATTTGCATCCATTTTGAAGTATCTATGCACTTTATGTAATCAAATCCAAAGAAAGGAAAACTCCCCAGGGACTCCCTTTGGCAGGGAGTCCTCGGGGAGTTTTTGTTGTTCTCTTAGTCTCCTAAGACTAGGGAATCCCTATCGATTTGTCGGGGAATCACTGGTGAGTCCTCGGTGAATTTGGTTTTTTAGGGATTCACCGGGGATTCTTGGGGTGATTCCCTGGTGATTCCCCGGGGATTTAACAGATTTGTAGGGAGTCACTGGTGATCTGAAAGGTGAGTGTGGACTAGGGTAGAAATGTTGCCAAGATTTTTACGAGTAAATTTTGGTAAAGGCATTGATATTGACCAAGGAAATCCCAAAATAGTAAAAGCAATTGCTGGTACACAAATTTTGTGTATTAAAATATTTACTGCATTTTTATGTGAAATAGAATATTCATCAAGCCAAGTATGTAATTCACTTATATTCTCCATGTTATAGTATAGCTAACAATATAATATGAAACAGATATAGGATGCTCGTTTATCTCGTAGATAAATACATAAATGTTTAAAAATTAAAAAATATTTTTTTTAATTTTAAAACAGAACTATTCATATTAAAAAAATGTTTTCTATGCAATACAAACTTTAAAAAAACGCATTTCAAGATCATTTCTAAACGAGCAATCGTATCGAAATAAAAACGCATTTATTTTAACTTGTATTAAATATTTCAAGGCAAGAAATTATGAACTTGTCATTAATGCTAACATGTATTCAGCAGATATTCGTATTACATAATTAATATGTTAATTTTCCCCAGATTTGTTCAATATATGATAACCAATCAAATCGAAATGATAAAAGAAATTCTAATGAATTATTAACTAAATCTAGTAAATCATTTAATTGTGTTAATCAACCACTTCCTAATGGCATTCGATATGAAAGAAACCCATGTAACGGTAAAAGTGAAAAAATTCTAATAATAAGTACTTTTATTATTAATGAATTTAAATAAAGTAACTTTTACTTACTATCTTTCACTTTTTCAACTTCCATAAGTACTTTTAAATACTAATTTTTCAGCAAATTGAGAAATATTAATTCCCACACTTTAGAAAGTACTTTTTAGTACTTGTGACTCTGGAGAAAGTAATTAGAAAAGACTCTGGGTGTTTTCTGAAGTAATATTACGTACTTCTCTTGTCTGTAAAGTAAATAATATTAATTGTTTTACTTTCTGAACTAATTTTTGTACTTCCGGCATATAAAGAAGTAATTTTTAGTACTTTTGATCTTTTGGAAATACTAAATAGTACTTTGTTCAGTTACCAAGTTTATCATATTAATTTATACACTTAATAAAGTACTTTTTTAGTACTTCGAGTTTTCCAATAAGTACCCAGAGTTACTTTTGATACTCTGTAAAGTGATTATTAGTGCTTTTTCTCAATGAAAAGTAATTATAATATATCGATTTTGATAGTTTTCTGAAGTATTTGTTTGTACTTTCAAATGCTTGCCCTAATCCACTCTCCCCGCAAAATAACGAAATCCCTGGGAGTCCCTGTCGTGAGTCCCCGGGGATTTGTCAGGGGACTCCCTGGGGAGTCTTCTAGGGAGAGTTGACTAGGGTGCAAAGTAATAAAAAGTCTTTTTGTTATTTGTAGAAGGGTTTTAGTATTAGGTATAATCCCAAAGTATAATGAACTGACTGGATATTGTTAAAAGCAATTGCTTGTGTTTTTAAGCTTTTCAATAGTAATCAGAAAATATTTCAATACGCTAAAAAGTATTTAATAGTGTTTTTATCAATCATCAAGTATACTATTTTCGTTTTTATACTTTTTTAAGCTCTTTATTGATCGTGCCTCTTCCTTTCCAAGAACTGACAGACAGTAGTCTGAATGGATTGAAAAGTAATTAAAAGTACCTTGAAGAAACCATTAAGCGTATATGATCAATTCTTATATTTCTTTAAGTGATTTTGAGTTTCAAGAATTAATAAAAAGTTATATTGATGTTTAGAAGCATTAATAGTTTCCCAAATCATGAAGTTCACGTTGTTGATTCTCATACTTTCTATAGAATTGTATTATACTTCTGATTTTCAATAGGTAATTAAAGGTATTTTTTATCTTTTTGATAATACGGATGAATATTTATGCTACTTTTTGAATTCATTTGAGATTTTTTTTACAATTATGAAAGGTCTTCATGACACGTGGTAATAAAGAAATAATGAATAGAAATCTCTACATTTAGAGACTTGATATATAGTCGCAACAATTATAAACCCGATTAACATTTAGAAAACATGGAAAATTGTAAATATTAAATATTACTTTAATTATGTTATATTACTGCTTGAGTTCTTTACTGGTCGCGTTGCTTATTAGGAGGACATTTGTACTAAATAATATCCAACACTCCATGTAAAAAAAAGTATGAAAAGAACACTATTAATTACTTCAACCCGTCTTTTTTAAATAGGAAATGGTACTTATAAGTGAAAATGTTTAAATACTTTTCATTCTTTTTGACCAAAAAGTACTATTAAGTGCTACTGAAAGTATGAAAAAGTACTAAAATGCATTCAGAAGAGTGAAAAATAGTAAAAAAAGTTTAATTTATTTTCCTGTATTAATATTCAAAGCATTTAATAGTGCCTCTTTATACCTTTCTACACAAGTAAAATAAATGAATGTTTTTTACGGTTGTTCACATTTCCTAATCAATATTAATTAGTAGTTTTGAAAACTTTCATTATTTATGCTCACTTCACACAACCTTCTTGTACGCTCTCAAATGCGTGAGACTAATTTTATTGAAAAAATAAAAACGCAGTTTAAAAGAGAATTTATTTTAAAGTATTTCCATTGTATTTTTATCTTCTGACTCCTCATAAAAACGAGAAAGTGTATTTCGACATTGATTCGATGACTCATCTGGATGTGTACATAGACTAGAGTAAATGAAGGAGAAAAAAAGTCATCGGTTGCGTCATTGTCGACTTCGACTGAAAAAAAAATTACGCGATCATTTTATTGACGGAACAGGTCAATGTGAACAAATGACCGTATCTATATACATAGAAGGCCGGAATCAGGCAAAGAAGTGTACTAAGAAAGAAAATTGACATTCGAATATGAACATGGAACATTCATGGGTTCAATTGTTCGATTTACCTGATGAAATGCTTATGATCATTTTTAAGAAATTGGAGAATATCGATGTACTCTATTCTTTATGGGGCATCAACACACGATTCGATAAAATTTTACATGATTCAATCTTTACTAGTTCTTTGACATTACTGAAATGTCTATCAAACTGTTTTATCTGTCCATTACCTGATACAATACTTGATCGATTTTGTTTACAAATCTTATCTCAAATTTGTCTTAAAATCAAATGGCTTGATATTGAATCATCATCGATGGAACGAATTCTTCTTGCTACTGAATATTCGAATTTATGTGGTCTCGGTATATACAACATTACCGAGGATGTAGCTATACGTCTTTTTATTGGTAAGAAAATCAACTTTAATTGTTTTTATCTTTGAAGTATTATGAGAATGAGTATGTATGATTAAACATTTCATATTCTTAAATAAAAAACAGATGAATAGATCATTGAAGACGTCCTTTCATGCCAAAACGTTTTTTTTTATGTATGTATAATATATTCTACCCTAAAACAGTTTCAGTTAATATTTTTTAAATTAAGTTTAACTCTAAGTAGTGGATGATATAATTTCAAAACTTAGATTTTTGTTATTTGTAGAAATGAATTTTCAAAGAAGTAATTATATATTTCTTCGATTGAATGTATAGAGCTTAGACATGAGAATTTACCTATCTTTGGCTGTCCATAATATTTTTACTATATGGTAACTATGACTCAGATAACTATACAATAAGTATGACACAAGTTACTCTGCAGAATGGTTAAAAAGAGCATTTAGTTGATGTGATTTTAAGTGACCGAGCAAAACAGCTTAGAGAAAATTGCTAAAAGTATTCCTTCTGGTTGAACTAATTGTTCAGTGCTATGTAAATGAGTATGTCATACCATGTGTTTTTTTGATTGAAAGAATAAAATTTAGAAATGAAAATCCATTGATTTTTTCTCTCTATCTTTAACATAATTCAAATGATCATGAAGTAAGGTTGTATCTGATTATGACACTTTAGTAAGATATGTATGTGCTATTTAATACATTCTCAGAGATGTAAGCTATCGATGGCTCACGGTATATTTTATAAGAAAAAAAAACAGTTGCTTTTTCTTTTTTTCTATGTAGTGGGTGTCACATATTCTCTTATTTTACTTCGTATTGTTCAGTATTCGAATCCTTTATTATATTGAGTAATGCTTTTCATCGAAACAATCAAGACAAGTATTTATCACAATTAGAACAGAAAGTTTTTATTCTCTTCGCTGCTGTGTCACTTACTTCTCTTCGTTGTTGTTGCCTAATTTTCTTATAGCCGTCAGCACAGCGTCTTCGTACATCGCAAGCAAGCCAGTCTTTTCTTCGAGCTTGTGATCCACAATTTTACACTTCAAACGACTTACTGATTGTTGTCTCGGGCTAGGTTTCAGAAAGAAGAGATCTATATGCATATTGTACACGTTATATGTACGATTATAGAAAAGATACAAGTGATTCACACTGAGATAATGCATCGCAAAATTCATCTGTTTTTATAAACGCGAGAGAAGAGTAAAAGATAACATTGCAAAAGAAAAAAAATCGAAACCGCATTTCGTTAATCTCGTTCCTACTGCGCAGTATAAAAGAGAGAGAGAAAAACCAGACTTGAGTAATTATTCTGTTTGAAGTGAAAACGGATTGTCTATGCAAAAATGTAAACAAAAAAGAGCAAAAGAACTGGTAGCATTTACCAAAAAAAAAGACCAATAAGTGCGTTTATCAGAAGGTAGATGTACACGAAAATGAATCTCTGAAAGGTATTTTTAAAGAAAATCGATTCGCCGTGAATGTGTTAAACATCTCAATATTCAAATTGTTTGGAAGTCAAAAGATTACTAGATGTAAAATTATAGATAACATGACCTTCTATCAGCATATACAATTACTTTTTTCAGAAATTGATTTTATAGTAAGTTTATATTAAAGAAAACTTGAAGTAGAGTAAGATAGTACAGTCAATTGATAAGAGTGTTTCAATTTTCTTCGAATAATTTTTCAATTCTGAGAAAGAACACATGTACAATGTAGGGTTCTTTAAAGCCTGTAGAAGAATCGATGTTTTTTTTTGTCAATAGATTTGTATATATGTTTAGATAAAACTCCACTTGGTCGTATTAAAAAAAATCAGGTTTGTAGTTTGGTTGTTACAATTCCGGACATAGGAAGAAAACGACTAATAGAAAACACGATAACAGCTGTTTGCGCACGTGTCTTTACTGTGTTCACCAATCTACACTATTTGAATATATATTCGCCTGATTATATGTATTTTCCGCGATTATCATTTAATGATGAACTTTCGACATTTTTCTCTGCAACTTTGACGGAATTACATATCAATTTGGAAAACTCGAATGATTGTCTTTATCTCCTTGATGGTCGATTCAATAGACTTCGCGTTCTATATGTTAATATAGGGTTCCTTTTTCCTACATCAGCAATGATCGGCAACAAGGTAAATTATTTTGCATGAATACAACAATTATTATTTAAACAAATATTGTTTTTTTTTTTCAATGAATTATTCAAATGTTTCCTATGAATATTCATCATTAAATATTGTTTTTGCTTTTTTTTTTAGGAAGAATTACCTAATTTGAGATCTTTCTCATTGCGCTGTCAATTAGAACAGAACTATTACGATGAATTAATTATACCACTTCTGCGTCGAATGTCGAATTTAGAAAGTCTTTCTTTATATCTTGCACACGATCATATTCATAGATTTATAGATGGGAATGATTTGAAGAAGAATATAATTAATCATATACCACGATTAAATAAATTTTTATTTAATATTCGTTCAATTATTTCTCTGAACGATCAAATGTCTTTACTTTCAAATAATGATATTCAGCGGACGTTTTCAAATTTTACAGGCAATCAAATTATATCGTGTGTTGATTATTTTCCTAAAATGAAACGTGGTCAATGTCATGCTTATTCATATCCATATACACTAAACTATTATCATAATATTACAAATAATTTCCCAGGTGGATTATTCAAGCGTGTTGGTGAAATATCATTATATGATGAACATCCTTTTGAATATGAATTTTTTATTGAAATTGCACAAGCATTTCCATGTCTACGAAAATTATCTTTAAGCAATCGAAAAGGACAAAAATTGAAGAATAACAATATGAATTATCCACTTATTAAATATCCTCATTTGAATGATCTCGAACTTATCGACATTCATAAAGATTATGTTGAATTATTTTTAGACAATACGAAAACACTCTTATCGGACAATCTATGTCTTAGTGTTGAATATCGTCCATTAAGAAAAGTGACAAATAATTTTAAAAAAGATACAATGCGTTTCAATTGTGCTAAAGTAATTCAACTAATGATTCCTGCTAAATTTAAAATATCTCAACGTTTCAAAGCCTACTTTTCTCATGTGAAAATATCTCAATTTTATTAATATGATGTTGTGATGTGTGCTAACAACACCAGATCATATATTTCTGTTTTCTCTTTCTTCTTCGTTGTTGTTTCTTTTTGGTTCTCTTTGATGTTCAGTCATGATATATATATATATATATATGCTGACTGGGACATATATGGTCTTAGTTAGTTGTTGTTTTGTGTGTTAGTGCGTTTTTTTTCTACTTTCAAGCGATTAGAAAATAAAGTCACGTTAATATATGAAAATAAAAATGAATAAATAAAATATGAGCATATTCAAATCTCATTTATTTAATAAAAGACAAGGGCGTGTAGGTGTGGGTGTGGGTGTTGCCTTATAAGAGCCAGTCCGCCTAAGCCACGCCTGAACATGCTCAATCGAGGTCGTCCGATTCTGCTCAATTTAACATATTTTGTAGAGCAAAGAATTCTACGAATTTCTACGAAAGACGTTTTGAAAAATATTGAACTCTTGATTTTTTATGAGCATTTTACGAAAAGCCCCAAAAATGAACACTTTCATCACGGGGATCTCCTTAGGGCAATATCTTGTGATTGGCTTTATGGATTGAGCTGAAATTTTTTCCAGGCATATAATCTTATGAGTTGTACTCATCATAAATGTTTTGTCCCGAAATATTGAACTACTGAAATTTAACCCATTGCTCAATATGACCGAAAATTAACAATTTCGGTAACTTTGACCGTATATAACGTTTGAATAGAACGTCATAGAAGTCTGAAATTTTTATGATAGGTAGAACAGTAAAACATCTTTCTTCTACGAAAATTTTAGCCCTCTACAATATTTAGTTTGGCCAGGAGAGGGTCCCCAAAAATGGAACTTTTTCATAAATAGGTGTTTTCAGGATGGATTTTCTCCCAAAATATGGATTGCCTGGGGGGCTGGTAAATACAGGCTGGTAGTGCTCTCTCTACTCTACAAGTCCATAAAAAAATCAGCGTGGGATCTCCTTAAACGGCCTGTACAGGAGATCATCTTTAACTGCTATAAATGAGGTAGGTATATCGCTTTCATGTCTTTTGGACTTCGAGTTTCAGTTTTATTTTATGTATTAAGTCTAGGTAATTTTTTATCCTGAACACGGTGGTCATGTTCTTTTCTCTTCATTCTCAACCATTTTTTTGCGTATACAAAAAAATAGCGATATTTAGTGTGGTATTTTAGGCAAAAACCTATGGATTTTGATTAAAGTGTTATCAAATAATGTTACTAGTTATTATTCTTATTGACGATTTTATACAGGTCAAATTCAGACCCAAGATAAGTATTTTTTAATCTGCGATTCGCTGGAATTGGTGTAGAATTGATTTAGAATTGGTTCAGAATTGGTTCAGAATCGGTTCAGAATCGGTTGGAATTGGTCTGAAACCGGTATAGAATTGGCTCTAAGTGAGTGTAGAATGAACTGAAATTAATGGTACAATTGATTAGTCTTGACTAGCAGGGGCTAGAATTTGCCAAAAATAAAATAAAGCAAGTGAGACGCATAAGCCCTTGAATCTGAAAATTGAGATTTTTATCATAAAAGCTACAACTCGAGCCACAATTAATAACATATTTGAAATCAGCGCAAAAACCTGACTCGAACAATGTATATTTCAAATACTTTTGGCAACTTTTTTTTCTACCGAAAATTCGCCTGGGGTACTCCTCAGAGTTCAGTCCAATAATAAAAATTGAATTTTTTTTTCTGCTCAGGCATGCGACTTTTTCTACATTACTTAGCATTTTACATGCTCCACAGTTAATTACTGCTGTCCAAGTTGCTTTCTGATTAGTTTCAGTTTTTCACTGAACCCTGAGGGGTACCCCAGGTGAATTTTCGGTAGAAAAAAAAGTTGCCAAAAGCATTTGAAATTTATGAAAAATCACTCCCATCTACTCATCCAGAACTTGCTAAAACTTATGCAAATATTGGTGGGACCTATAATGATATGAAGGATTATTCTACTGCGTTGTCTTACTATAAAAGAGCACTCGAAACTAGACAACAATCGCTTCCATCAAATCATCCTCAATTAATAAAAACCTATCATGATATGGCCACGACATATAAATCTTTATGTCGATACTCTGATGCTCTATCTTGCTTACATAAAGCTCTGGAAATACAAGAAGAAACTCTTTCCACTGATCACCGTGATTTGACTACTACTTGGCATGATCTTGGTCTGGTATATTTTGAAGTGATGGATTATTCTAATGCTGTTACTTATGTTCAAAAGAGTGTTGACGTGAGAGAACGGTTGCTTTCATCCACTGATTTTCAATTAGGCACTGTATTTAGCGATATTGGACTTGTCTACAAAACCATAGGAGATTATACAAAAGCTTCATCATATTATGAAAAAGCGCTTCGAATTCTAAAGATACATCTTCCAGATACAGATCACACGATAACAATAATTCATAATAATATTGCCGGATTGTACTTAACATTAGGGAGTTATTCGACTGCACTCTTATACTATAAAAATGTATTAGAAATAAGAGAGCAATCTCTTCCTCCAAATGATTTGGATTTGGCTACGACTAACAATAATATTGGTATGGTTTATGCGAAAATGGGAGATTACCATACTGCGCTCTCGGATCTCGAAAAAACATTTGAAGTCGTGTTCTCCTCATATTCCAGCAGATACTCATGGAAATTTGGCACAAGTACTTTTTCTTCTTCATCAATATGAAGAAGCTACTGAACATGCTAAACAAGCAGTTAACATCGCTATTGATGCATTCGAAAATGATCATCCGACAAGCGTAATGTTTGCAAATCTTTTTCAACAATGTAGTGAGGGATTAAGATTAATTTTATCCACTAAATGGTATTGATTGAAGTTGTCATTTTTATCAAAGCAAAAAATAATCAGTAGAATCCGTTATCCGCTTAGAAGAACTCATACGTGCGCTCTCATTTTTGTTTTGAATAACTTCAGGATATAATTAGTTAGAGATGGTGTGATTTTTAACATCAGAAAGACAGATTTGGACATAGGAGAATCTGTTCAGCAGTCGATTTGTTTAACAACATACATGCTAATCATTTTACAATAAAATTGCCAAAAACCATTCTGATATACTTTTGTAAGTTGGAGTCCGATCTACATACTGGAGCACCCAAACCTCCCTTTCCCGTTGGATGATTTATATGAACCTGTCTTACAAAGGATAATCGTGCAATGAATGAGCGCTCCGTCATAAATGTTGAATATTAAGCATTTGCATAATGTTAACAAGCCTTTCCACTCATGCTACATATTAGCATACATCAAACTGACAGAAAGCATAGGTGTGGGTCAATAGAACGGTAGTCTTAGTGAGGGAGCGAACTACGTTCACATCGAATAAAAAGAGAAGTGGGTGAATATTCTAAGCAACGGAAGTATGTGAAATTAGAAAATATTCATATTTTTACCATTAAAAGAAGCTTACGAATGAAAACTATTAGCTGGGAAATTTTAATTAGTATTATATTTCTGGTAAACATTTATTTATCGTTATAAAAGCACGTTTAGTACGGAAATTTGCATTCGAAAAGAAATGCTTGAAAACCAAGACTATAATCCTTTGCATTTTCATGATGTTTATGTAAATAAATATTTTCTTCCGCAAAAATTGTGACATGTTCTATGAAGAGAATTAGCATTTAAATTTAGCATGTGCGTATGTATAAGTACGTTGCGTTATCTTGAAAAAATGTCGCTGTCTGTCTATAGCCTATCAATTTGAAAAGTGGGTGGCGTTTTTCTTTTACCCAGAGAATCTATGATGATGGAATAAAAACAGCATACATTCGTATATTGTATTATTTATTTTATTTTTCTCCTTACATAGAATGAATTTGATTTTCATAGCTACTTTTTTTTGGTGGCTACTAAAATTTTCGATTTTTTCATTGTACCAAGTGCGAGCAAATACATGTGATACTTACAATCATCCACAATATGGCTTTGGTCAAGGCATAAATCAAAGTCTATGTCCAAATGATTTATATCTAACTGGTCTGTGCGAATCAAAACCAATGGATGTTAAATGTTGTTTTTCATCACAAACAATAAAAGAAGAATTTCGTGCTGCTTGGATTGCGACTGTAAGTAACATCGATTGGCTATCAACGAGAACCGCGACACCAACTCAACAACAATCTGAACTACTTAATATTCTCAATACACTTCAAAAATTGAATATGAATGCTGTCGTATTTCAGGTAGTGTATAATAACGTCACTTGAATCTGGAGTATCTTTTTTTTTTATTCTTAGATTCGTCCTGTTGGTGATAAATTGTACGCTTCGTCATTAAAACCATGGAGCATATATTTAACCGGTATACACGGTAAACCACCATCACCATTATGGGATCCATTGGAATTTATTATAGCTGAAGCTCACAAACGTAATATTGAAGTGCATGCTTGGATCAATCCATATCGTGCTAGAATGTCTGGTGCTACCTATGAACTTGCATCAAATCATATGGCCAAGCGATTTTCGAAATATGCTTATACCTATAATAAATATATGTGGATGGATCCGGGTTCAGTTGAAGTTCAAGAATTTATTGTTAATGTTACTGAAGATATTGTCCGTCAATATGCTGTTGATGGCATACATATGGATGATTATTTTTATCCATATAATGATGGTACTGAGTTTCCTGATGGAACTACTTACGCAGAATATCAACAACACGACGGCAAATAAAATAAAGCTGACTGGCGTCGTTCAAATGTGAATACTCTGATTCAAACGATGTACAAAAGAATTCATGGTATTAAACCAAAAGTAAAATTTGGTATTTCACCGTTTGGTATATGGAAAAATGGTGTACCACAAAGTATTCATGGTCTTTCATCTTATAATACTTTATATTGTGATAGTCGTATGTGGTTAGAACAAGGCTTAGTCGAGTATATGGCACCGCAACTCTATTGGCAAATTGATCCACCAGCACGATCATATCTCGCTCTTCTTAATTGGCGGATACAACAATCAGCGAAAGGTCGTCATGTTTATCCTGGTACTGCAGTTTATCGACTTCCACGAACTGGTTCCAATTGGTCAGTTACTGAAATCGTTCGACAAATTAATATAACTCGATCAATGCGTGAACATTTAGCACTTGGAAATGTATTTTATTCGGTAAAACAAATAATGCAAAATGTCAAGGGCATTCAAACTGAGCTTACAGAACTTTGTAAACAAAAAGCTACGATTCCGAAAATGGATTAACTTTAAAATTTCAAATATTCAATATATCGTATGTAATAGTTTTTAGTGCTTTTACTCATTAAAATTATAATAAGCTATTATTTGAATATATTTTTCTAACAATCAAACTATCAACTGCAATGCCTCATTTTATTACCGTAGATTGTATCTTATATTTAAAAATATTAAATAGAACATATTGATTATTTTCTATTATTCTAAAAAAAGAAGGAGATACTTGAGAATCTTCATCAAGACAGTCATGCGCTATGGAACAAACTTGAGGCAAGACTTGAGACCTTTCGACGAGCTCAAGCTCTTAAACTTCTTGCTCTACCGCTTGATGTTCTTGCTCATGCGCTTGAATTCTTATGCAAGTGCTCCTGTTATTCAAGAATTTTTTAGTGTTTTTTGGAATTTTACGTTCAAAACAACTCAACTTTTAATAAAAGTTCATAGATTTATTTTCATGCAACACTCAAGCGCTTGTCTTGAGCAAGAAAGTCATGCGCTATGGACCAAACTTGAGGTCCACGCATGTCCAGCGCAGAAAAAACAGTTCGACTAGGGTAATTATGCTTATAACTATTACCAATATTATTATGACACGAAAGGACGGGAAATGACTGAACAGACCAGATATGGCAAATGTTCCGGATTTTCGACTTTCAGATCTGGCATCTCTGAAACAGGCAGTCAGTCATAGCTAGCAAAAAACAAATGATTAATAAATTTTCAAAGTTCTTTTCAAAATGCTATTTTCTGCATGAAAGCGATTTTTTCGAAGAATCGAAGTATTCTTTTTTGTCAAAGGAAACTATTTTAGTTACAGAAAATTATAGACAAATTTAAGATCATGCCAATACTATCGAAAATCTTGCGGTAGAAAAGTTGTATTTAACAATTTTTAAAAACTTTTCTGTGTTTGTTTTTATCAAGATCAAAAATAAATCAAATGCGAACTGCACACTTAGATAGAGTAATCAATGTTCTACCAAACCAATTTTGATGTTTCGTAGAAATACAGCAAACGAACGAAACTAAGTGAATGATGCACTTCGAAGTATAATACGTTTCAACGCCAATATGATTCATAAAAGTATTGAAGCGAGCGGCGACTATTTTTTTTATATCGAAAACAAGCATATATGATAATTATGTTTTTACGCATCATTTCGTTTATTTTCAATAAAAGTCACACTTCAATATAATTTTATCACGCTCATTAAGGACGATGAATATCTGAATAGGTCTGCCCTGTTCTTTTTCTCTGTCTCGTAACGTTGCATTCAAATGTGGGAAGAAAAAACATAGTTGAATGCAAGCGAACAGAAAGAAAAACGAATAACGTGAACGAGGGGAAAATCTAAAAATCTAATGTATAACGTATATAACATTGTTTTGTGATCATTCTAGAAATTATAAAATAATAATATGGCTCAGCTAATCAACGGTGCATCAGAATCAACGGAAATGAAACCGGGTGGCGATCAAAATGAAAAAATACTATTTGGGGCTTCAAAACCTGCATCTCTACCTGCATACGGTAGTACGCGTATGGTGCAAAATGTTCTCCTTATTTGGTTAGACAAGAACATTAATCTAGGAAAGAGTAAAGATAACCAAAACACCATGAGGAGTCTGCGCGGTGTCGTTAATACCATTGAAACGTTCACAGACGGTGAAAAGTGTATTGAATTCATTAAAACCGTACAAAATAATGACAAAATTTGTATCATCGTTTCTGGTTCATATGGAGAAACTATTGTACCACCTATTCACAGTATGCCACAAGTTGACTCTATTTTTGTCTTTTGCAATAATAAATCGTTCCACGAAGGATGGGCTAGAAATTGGAAGAAGATCAACGGCGTATTCACAAATATCGAACGGATTTGTGAGGCTCTCAAAAGAGCAACACAACAATGTGAGCACAACGCTGTTTCGATCAGTTTGTTGGCAGCTGATGATGGTGCAGCTAATAAAAAATTGGATAAATTAGAATGCTCCTTCATGTACACATTGATTCTCAAAGAAATTCTACTGACAATCAACTTCGAAGGAAAACATGTTAAAAATTTTATTCATACTTGTCGCAAGGATTATGACGGCAATGATCGTGAATTAAAAAATATCAAAAAATTCGAAAAAGATTATCGTAAAAAGACACCTATTTGGTGGTACACTCTAGAATGTTTCATGTATGCGAGGCTTAACCGTGCGTTACGGCTAATGGAGGTAGATGATATCATTGACATGGGCTTCTTCATTAATGATCTTCATCGTCAAATTGCAGAATTAAATCAAAAACAATTCCGTGCTATTCAAGATTGCAAAATGTTAACACTCTATCGTGGACAAGGTATTTCTATCGCAGAATTCGAAAGAATGAAAAAAGCACAAGGAGGACTTCTGTCGTTCAATAGCTTTTTGTCTACCAGCAGGAATCGTAGCGCTGGTCTAGAGTTTTCTATAAAAAATCTTCGGAATCCAGATTTGATTGGTATTCTCTTTGTCATGACTGTTATTCCATCACAATCAAAGACAGCTTTTGCCGATATTAAAGATATTAGTTATGTTCAGAAAGAAGACGAAGTTCTCTTCTCAATGCATACCGTGTTTCGTATTGGCAATATTAAACCCTTAGATGACGAACAGCGACTCTTCGAAGTTGACTTGCTTCTTACTGCTGACAATGATAAGGATTTTCGAGCACTTACTACTCGCTTACGACAAGAGATTGCTCCAGTGAAAGAAGGTTGGGACCGATTGGGATTTTTACTACTCAAAATGGGACAGCATGATAGAGCTGAAAAAGTCTACGAAGTTCTGCTAGCACAGACAACTAATGATATTGAAAAATCAAATCTTAACGTTGGACTTGGAAATGTTAAACATAGCCAAGGCAAATATAATGAAGCAATTCGATGCTTTAAAAATGCACTCAAAACTTACAACAACGCTTTCGATCTTAAGTACACTACTTTATCTGCTATCCACAATAACATGGGCTGTGTATATAGAAAAATGCATGAGTACTCACATGCGCTGGCGTCGTATCACGAAACGCTTGCGTTACAACGACAATCGCTTGTTTCGAATGATCCCGCTTTGGCTTCTACTCACAACAACATTGGGAATGTATATGCGGATATGGGACAGTATACACAGGCACTATCAGCACACCAGGAAGCTCTAGCAATTCGTCAAGTAGCACTTCCGCCAACTCATCCTGATTTGGCTTCAACTTACAATAATTTGGGCAATGTACTTTACAAAACCAATCAGTATCATCATGCGCGTGTCTGTTACGACAAAGCCGTAAGCATCGCAAAAAGTTCATTGCCTTCTAATCATCCTGACATTGAGACGTATCTCAAAAACCTTTATTCAGTTAGTAATCACTTGTAGTTTATGTTTATTTGTAAAGAAAATAAATAGATTGAAGAAAAAAGACTGCATTCTAGCCAATACATGTATATACACAGAAATTCGGTAATTGTTGAGAAGAAAATAAATACATGCGCCGCCATGCAGAACATTTCCTGCATTGGAATTGTATCTCAGCAAAAGACGAAGTCTAACACTTCTGGTTAATTAATTTCAAGACCTGTTTTCTGATCTTAATGTAGAGAGTAACGGTATTTTGATATTTCTCATCTTGCTTTTGGCATTAAAAATTCATTCAATCTTGAAAATTGATAATGTAATTATAAGTAAAATGCGAAATATTTTTTTATTTGATTCCGTAGTGAATAATGATGTCGTATATGATTCTTGTTATTTTGTGCGTTACTTCTACAATCATTAAAAAAATACTGTGAAAATAATAAATTACCAGTAAAAAATGAATACGATAATATATTCAACATATTCAATTTCAAGTGAATATTCAAGTCGATAAAAAAATAATGATTAGTAAAAAAAGGGACCCATATAATAAATGATATTGTTGGCCAAACTATATTCACTATCGTAACAAGACAACATTTGATCTTTGATATCAAAGAAAAAATATTTACGATTCATCACAATCGAATTATGATTTCTTCGGGAAATTCTAGTGAAAAAACAGCAAACCTTTTCTGTAGGAAATCAAAAGTACAGGTAAATGATAGATAGTATCATAAAATGGACACAATATTTGTTTTTCTTTATATTCATTTCTCTACATCCTTTTTCTTGTGTCCACTTAAAGCACCGTAATCTATCAAACATGTAAAACGTGAATTTTAACTTCGATTAGTTGAAAATTCAAGAAACATTCAGCCAAATAATACATCTTTTATATCAGCGTACACAGTGAAAACTATCTTAATTATATTCTCTGATAGCCCTAAAGAGGGCGTTCAAAATAGGTATGGCATGCCCAACTTCCAAGAACTGAAGTGGTTTCACTCAGAACCAGAAACTATTCTGGGGGATACTAGTAGTCTTCGTTAGAAAACGAGTCGCATCTTCAGGCACACTTCTAGTATCCTCAGGTATGCTTCTAGTTCTGGGTGCGACAAATTCAACAGTTGAGAGCTGACATTTTGACCAGCTCCTGTGGAAGAGTACTGCAGCTGGCAGATTTATAGTTCAAAATAGGACGTATAGGAAAGGACATATAGAAGGGACGTCTGAATTTGAGGTATGGAGAAGAATGCATTGAAAGGAAGTGAATGTAGATGAATTAGGAAACTATGCATATTGTTTCGTATGGTTTATGATTGAAACGATAAACCGGATGTACTCTTCTAATATAAATCGCAACCAGCTATAGCCGACTTTCATTTATTCCCAAATTTTTACAGAAATCTTCCTTGATATGAAACATGAAGAAAAGGTCACCACGGCATTAGTCACATATAGCCACACAGAATAACATCACAATAATAAAGAAATGAAAATTATCAATGAATTTCAAACAACTTATCAATCATCAAAAGCCATTTGGTGGTATACACGTGAGTGTTTCATATACAAATTGCCAACACCGATGAAGCGTACAGTAATATGAATGACCATGTAAAAGCGCTTACTTTTTGCGAAAAAGCAAATCAATTCTGTGAAAAATTTCTGTCGCCCAATCATTCAGATCTGACCACTCCTTACAACAATATGGTTTTTGTGTATTACAGAATGGGTGACCACTTGAAAGCACTTATATTTCTAGAAAAATCTCTAGCCATACTACAAAAATCATTTCTATCTACACATCCACGTATTAAAGCAGCAATAAGTAATCTGGAGTTCATTAAAAAGAACATGTAATTTTCTTTTATTTACCGTGAAAAGATTTTAGGAAAATTAGTCCCTTATCTGAGAGAATCCTCACATAAGATATTAGACGTCATTTTGTGATTGATGTCAATTCAATATATCAATGATTATAGTGGTTTATCTCGAAGTTCGAATACCAATCCATCAATTTTTAATACCTACCCAGATCGAACATTCCAGCCACCGGATCCCGTAGGATACTCCAGGGAATATGCGGGAAAGTCACCATATCCTGCAGGAAAACACCGGAAATCGCTGGAACATGGAAGCAATATTCCGGTCAAAAATACGGTCAGACTTTTCCGGAGAATTCCTGCCAAGTTCCGGTGCTTTCCGACAGGAATTGATCGGAAATCATCGGGAAGATGCGAAAAATTTCCAACCGGAATACTGCTTCCACAAAATCAACGGAACTATCCGGAACCGGCCGTCTCCAGGCCGAACTGTTGGACCTGGGTATTTTTATTTTTCTTGCTTAAAGGCTCTAAAATTTTCACGAAAACCAAACCAACCAGATTTAAGCATATTTGAAATTCCTATATATACATATTATAAGGTTGAGGAAAAACTTCGTGCGCCGTGTTATTTTGAGAAAGTAACAAAAAAAAATTTGATTGAAGCTTTGTCCAGAGAACGAACTTTTCCCTCAACCTAGTATATATACATATATATATGCATATGCATACTGTTGCAACGCGACATACCAAAAATACACTAGGAATCAATTCAAAGCTATTAGACGATAGGTTCATAGGACAGCGTAGATAAATAAAACTCGATATGAACTGATTACCGCCGGATAAAATCTATTTAACTCTATTTTTACGTTTTATTTAATCTGAAAATCAATCTTGCTTTTGATTTTCTAATCGGTTCTCTACATTTCTAGGTTGTTCTAAGTAAAATCAAATTTAGATTGTTGTCCAGGCAGTTTTGTGCCGACATTTGATTGTATTGTTAAATTGATATTCGTCATTGTCTCACTACCTAGATGTTGAGTTGTTTCACGTGAGAGTAATTCAATTTGCATCAATAAGTCGTTCATTTCACGTGATGCTTGTTCTTGCAGTTCTCTCAAGATTTGCATCTTGATTTCGTTCGCTTTATGACTCACAAATGAGATTCTTCTCTGCGAGTTTCTGGTTATTTTATCCTGGTGCACATATAGTTGCGCTTGCAAATCGGCTAAATGTCTCGATTTCCAATCATCCAATTCTGCAATATAATATTGAAGCCATATTCGATATAACTCGTCCTGTGCTGACTGTTGTTTCCTTGCATATAACAACAGAGTTTGTTGTACATTATTTGTGTCTTTGTTGATTTGTTCGATAATCTCTTGTAGCTCTTTTGTTACAACTTCAAGACACTCTTTGACATTCGTGTCAAGTTTTCTAGGAACTTCTCCCAGACGAGTCTTGAGTCTTACTATTTCTTCATTTGTCGATAAATTAACGCATGAATGCGATTGACTCTTCAAAATCGATTGAACATGAGCTGAATCGTGAACACTGGAATAGGCGGAATTCGAATGGGTAGTACTAGTCTCTTTTTGAGAGTTAGATTTTTGTTTGGTTTCTATCATTGGACGCTCCTCGGATCCTGGTAATAGCTAAAAATGAAAGAGTATTATAGTATTAGATTTGAACAAGTATTATTTTTGAACCAAAGTTAACATGTGCTTCCCTGTTTCAGACTTCGATCAATTATCTAAACAGAGTTTGCTTGCAAAAAATTTAAGAAGCAACAAATCTCATGAAATTAGAATACAAGAAAAGAGCATGCAAAGACGTAACCATGAAATAGCTTTACCTTAACTGGATATGATTTTTTAAATGCATACTGCTTATCATCTTCAGGCAAAGGATGCACAAATTTTTCTCTGGGTGGAGATGGTGGTCCGGGCCATTTAAGTTTTTCTTCCTTTTCTGCCTTCGTCTGCTGATTATTTGGTTTTATGATATTTGATGAAGGTCGCACAGGCTGCGTTTTCAATGGATCTATTGTTGGCTTTGGTCGAATTGGACTCATTCTCCTAACCCTATTGCTACTTACAGTTGTGCCCATAGTCAAGATTAATATGTTTTAGAATCTAGAGTAAAAATAAAAGGCAACGCGAGTCAATGTTCGAAGAGTAAAAGCGCTGAAAGATTGATGAATAATATCGATATTAAGCTTCATAAATATTGGGAGAAAAGCATCACACATATTTGTGCATCTTGCATTTACCATTATAATTAGTCAAATTCGGATCTATTTTCTGTGAATTTTCTAGGATCTCTCGTGTCTCAATTCACATTAGCGTATAGAAAGAAGTTCAACCATCATTTTGTAATTAAAATGCTCATTGTCAATGGCAACTAATGATAAAAATAATTTTATTGGGATTGACAAAAAGCAAAATGAAAATTTATTTAAAGAGAAAATAAAGAGTACAAATCTGATAATAAGTACGAAGACTGTTCCAAGAAGAGAAAGATATAGATTCAAGACTAATATTTCATTTAGTAACAAATTATACGTTTAATCGGATAATAAATAAAAGATCGCATATTTACTAGGCTAATAGCACTCAGTCGCAAAGTGAAAAATCATTTTCTTAGTGGAACTACAATGTACGTATGTAGATCCTGATGAACTATAAATATTTTGAAATCATCTCAAACTATGAAATTATTACTGCTGAGATACAACAAAAGTTTATGGTGAAAGTTTTAGATCTTCCATTGTCTTTATCTTAAGATAAGGTATTGAAAATAAAAAGTATGATACTATACAATATCATTCATGTGGATCAATAGATTCCGATATGCGAGTCATAACTTTTCATAGAATTTCACAGTGAAGTTCAAAGTACAGGTTCAATGTTAATGACAGAAGTCATAATATTTAGTCAACAAAAACTTTTTTACAAATGCAGTATCTCAGGAGTAATTAGCAACTAATATGAATGTTTTCAAAATATTCATATCTCACTCGGAGCTGTATATTGTACATAGTCCAACTCAAAAGCAACTTATCAATTGAAGATCTTCGCTCATGTGAATGGTCTTGAGCATGAGCATGGACACCATGACCAGAAACAAAAGCGCGTTTTACAACAGACTTGATTTGGGCAACAGATGCGAGTACAATAACAGCATGGCTCAAATAGTAGACATCTGGAAGACAGGCACTCGCAAAAAAAATCGCAGCACGTGCATGAACATGAATATTTGCAACACGTGCAACACTTACACCAGCAATATTCAGGAGGGTTACGATAAATTAACTCATGATGCATAACAATAACAGTAGGATCACAACTGCAAGGCTCATAACGACGAGCACATTCAATACAAAGATAATCACGGCGGCTTTCACGGGGAGGGTCCGAAGCAACACCATGACATTTACGACAACGACTCGAATAAACTCCGCCACAAGAATAAGCACCGCAATCAGTACAAATATAATAATCGCGATGATATGAAGAAGGAAATGCGAAGAAAGGATTCTTTTGAAAATATTCCAGTGGCAGCTTTGGCACGACTCGCGCGGGAACGGCTAAATGAGAAAAATATTTTGATCAATCAATTTTTGGTCAGTTAAAAAGTGAAATCTTTATACGAAGATATGTATGAGCTCTCTCATCAAACGAAGTAAGAATCAGTCTAATGTTCATAAATAAGTATTTTACTTACCATTATTTTGTTGTTGTTGTCCTTTGCCTAGTGGTAACGGTTGCTGGATCCGTGCTGCCATTTTTTGATTGGGCTCTTCAGAAATGGACTCACTAATGATTTTAAGGCAACTCTAAGAAAAATTAATTCATTTCCTTTAGAAAAATTAATTGTAATTTTCATAATTTCAGCATTTTTCAATTTGAAAATCATCGCATTAATTCCTGGCAAGTTATAAATTTTTTTTAGTAATTCGTTGAGAATATGATTGGATACGCATGAAAGCCTACGTTGGGAAGATGTTTTTTGGTGTGTAGCCTATTTTGTTGCAAAACTTATAGAAATTTTGAACCTTTTGTTATTCAGCTGAACTCAGTGCTGACTGAAAATTGATTTTCTTCTAATAGAAGCAACTCTTTAGATGCCTAAAGATATATTTTTATGCCACTTATTTTGAATTATGCTCATTACTGACAAAATAAAAATAGAAAAGCTTAAAATATAAATGTTGAAACTAATAAATGAGAACGAAATAATTCCTAATTTAACGTGATCTAACCTGTTTCTCGAAATCTTGATACGAACCTCACTTTCGCTACAACCAATAGTTACACTATCAAATTATGATTTTCGAAAATTTGTGACGGTAATATAAAACAATGCAAGTAACTATGATTTGAATAGCAGTAGAATAACAGAAAAACTGCCACTACAGGCTTCTCTATAGTATTCATGGCTCATTGTTACTGTTGTATTCTTTTATTAACTAGAAGATTATTGTAGACAGTTTGATCAAGGTTGTTCTCTTGTTTTTATTTCATTTTTATTTCTATAATCAATGCCTGCACACATACCACTATTTGTTATTGATTTCTTTTGTGCGACTTCATTGTACTGTTAGTAAAAATAAATGTTTACTTTTTTCAGATTGAAGAATTGTAGATTATCACCAAATCGAATCCGAACAAGGTTATTGTTATGTGCTTCGATTTTTTGTGTGAAAAATAATGCTGTGAATCTTCTACACAAAAAATATAATTCTTAATCGTTGTCATAGTGGCGTAACCAGGAAATTGTGGGTTCCCTGGCGGTGCCTTATAAGCTTTAAAAGAAATTATTCACGGTAGTTAGTGTTTCCCAAAGCTCAACTGAATCTAACAATTTTCGTTCAACTACGGAAAGAGACAAAAACAATGTATCTGGTATTTTATTAAGTTAAACTAAACAGCAAAAAGAAAAGTCAGGAAACAAAGTTAACCAACAAAACCTACTTCAGTATTATTCTGCTGTTGTTATGTTGAATATCAAAAGCATCAATAAGCTTTTCGTAATCAACGCAGAACTCTCGTTCAATTGCTCGTAATAATAAATCAATAAGCATGCTGTCTGACATACTGTTACGTGCAACAGTTTTAATGAGCTTCATTTTACTAGAAGCCCTTTCTGTTGTGGTAGATGATACTGGAATTGCCATTGCACCGATAAGAAGTGAAAGAATACGTGGAAACGCTTGTCCGAATGGTAAAATTTCAAAATACAAATCGATCATATTTTTTGGTTTTAACTGTTTTAGCATTGGCTTTCGTACTTGAATTTCATTATTTAATAATTGAATATCCGATTTTAACATTACACATAAAACTTTCAACTCATCTATTTCTAAAAATGTTGAACTATCAGGTGATAATGATGAAACACCACGAAGAATATCCATGTTTGTTTTCGAAAAACGATCATTGATTTCGACAAGAATAGAATCAATTACTGGATAGAAAGCAAATATTCTATATTTATTTTTATTATCAATTTCTTCACGTTGTTCAATTGTACATGTAATTAAACAGTTTTTAAACCTAGTGGAAGTTTTTCTTGTTCTTCTTTCTTTCATTTTATTATTTAAATCAATATTATTTTCACCAGAAAATTCAATGATTTGATCATATAATTTGGAAAATTCTTCCTCGTTTCTAAGCTCACTGATTTGATTACTAACAGCACTAATGAAATTATGAGCTGTACTAAAATCGAGTGATTTTGCTAGATAAAATAAAAAAGGATACGGTTGACAGTAAATTTAGAAAAAATAGCGTAAGTCTAAAGGAAAATCTTGCACTTTAATTGATCGGATAAGATTATTATTTTATCAAGTAAACGATCCATAATGAAAATAGTTACAATGAATAATGGTTCATTTAATGCTAATAATAAACCTCGTGCATATGTGGAACGTTCTGTACCATCATCTGCTAATTCTTCTAAACTTTTAATTAAAACTTTATAATTTTGAATAATAGATTGGATAGATGTCTAACGACTATCCCATCTTGTTTCAGCCCATTTTTTTTATTGTAGTACTGGAGCTACCGGAAGAATCTTCTACAAAAAGTAAATAACGAGCTTTTGTTTTGTTGCTTGTAAATAAACTCGAAATATTCGTACCTAAATTTAATCTTTGCTGAACTGATTTGAATATGTCCTTCGTCGCACTTGATGTATGAAAATAAGTATAAATTTTATTGATAATGGAATAGAATTCTGATAATAGGGAACTTCCTTTGTAACGTCACAAATGACCAGGTTCAAATTATGTGCGTAGCAATGTATGTAGATTGTGTGTGGAATATATTGTTGACGTAGTAAAGCCTGCAAGCCCCTATTTTTTTCAGCCATAACAGCTGCTCTAAAAGAAGAGGATATGCACACTCTCTCTTATCATCGTGAATCGTTCATTACTCATACCCATCGAAGCATACTGCTATACAATTTTTTAAATCAATATTTAAAGACGATAAAGCTGTACAATCTCTTTAGTTAATGTTTCAGCATCAAATTGATCAAGTTTGACGAAACTAAGAAAATATTCTTTGAATAGAGATGCATATTGATTTCAATCATTATTTGTCTCAACTTTACGATCAATAACACGTATGATTACACTAAGTTGTTCACATCCAGATCCATTATGGGACTCGTCAGCCATCAATGCAAAAACACATCCTTTTATCTATGAAGAGAGAGCACATAAAAATACTAGTTTATTAATGAAATTAAAGCAATAATACTTTCTCTGATATTTGCTGTTGAATCTGATTAGCTAAAAGTGAAATTAATTAATTTTGTATACGTGGACTAAGATAAGTTGTATTTCGATCACTATCTTTAAGAATAGATAAAGCAACTGGATCAGCACTACTAGTCCAATGTAGTAATTCGATGAAATTTCCTTGACTTAATGATCTATTGGAGTAAGAAACACTAAAATTATACAGTTTTATTCTTTAGAATATACTTACGATTCGCCTTTTTCATGCCCTCGTATGGCAACCACTTGCCGACCACACAAATGTAATGTCGAGACAATTTTAATTAGTTTTTCATGATTACGTTTTACCAATTCATTTCTTGATTTATCTATCACTGTAATATATTTGTACTAGATTTTGTACGTGCAACATATTGTGTATAATTAATTTCAGCTATTTTATGGCATTGAGTATTTTGATGACTCAAAAATCCTTGTTTAGAACTGAAAGCATTTTTCTAACTGCTGAACCCCCGTACGAAAGCATCACTCTGATTCTAAACACGAGTTAGAGAGAAAAAAATTGTGTTGCATCACGACAAATGCAAAAAAAAGAAAAAAGAATTGAGCCTTCAAAAAGAAATCTACGCCCTAGGCAAAATTTAATTACTCGATTATTTAAGATTGTTTCAGTACTAAAGTGTCTGCAATAATAACAATAGGCTGAATCTGTTAATTCCGAATATTCTAGCCAAGTAAAATGTGAATACCATTGACTACGAAACGATCTTTTATCTTTGTTTGATGGATAAGAAGGACGTATTGGTTTTGCTGGTAATTCACCAACTGAACGACTGATATCAGTAATATTAGATACTTGTGTATTTGACGATGAAGACAACAATAGAGAAGACTCTGATGAAGACGAATGAATTTGATCTTGTTGTTTATTAGTTGACGAATATGATGAAATCGGATCTTGTTGTTCGCCTATAGGCTATGATGCATTAATCTCACCTGTTTGAATGACTATTAACTCACCTAAGCTTAAAGAAACAACATATTTCTGTTTTTTGGTAGTTTGTGAACTAAAAAATGATTCGATAGTTCCACTTTTAGGTTCTTTAGAATTGTTTTCCATTTCAAAGCCAGTTTGAGATATTTATATGCTGCTTAGATTTGTTTCAATTTGAGTGTGTGTGTATATTCATCACAACACTGCAACCACTATACATAGTGTGGTAACAAGAGGGAAAATACCCATACATAAAGAATAGAGAAGAAAACGCAGAACGAAAGAAAATATCGCGTACAACGTCACAGAGGCAATATTTCTTAGCATAAACTGCATCAGCATAAGATCATCATATTAAGATGTGATGCAGAGCATGACAATCAGACATTCTGGCTTTTAATGCACTACTTATAAAGTAATCAATTACTTATTTTGTTATATGATATATATAATTATATATACAAAAATCAAAAATATACAAGCGACTGATATTGTTATTTAATTAATGCCTAGAGTTTATTCGATTGATGTCACTTACTAATTGTTTTTTTCAGAGCTATCTCATCGCATATACAACAATAAACTACAAACATTCTAATAGTGCTTATTAATTCTTTCTTTTGACCGGTACCCTGGCGGCGCCAGAACTAGCCCACGCCCAGTTACCCCACTATTTTACCAATATCATGCCCCATCCAGTATGATGTATCATAATATGAATTTGTTTTGTTTGCTTCGTTGCATGTGTAGAAACATGTTTACTATGTCGGAGTCATTTTTTTCGTTCTATTTCGTATTTTCTTTTCCAAGTGTAGTTCTTTTTGTTTCGTTCTGTACATTATTTCTGTCTTTGTTTTGACAACTATTATTCGTTTTTTTCTCTTTTCTTAAAGGTCAAGGAAACAATATTAAACTTGTGACGGTATTTTTGTATTTAGGATTACGGAAGCCTGTTATAGGCATATATACATTTTCATGTATTTTAAGAGAGATAGTGAGCTGTAAAGTTATAGGTATATATACTTATATCGGCTTGTCCGCGTAACGTGTAACTTCAATGACGGATGTTTCGAACTCTCTATTTGAAAAATCGAATGCTATCATCTTGTAGAGCATAGTCGAACGTACATAGAAACATATTTTGTTTCTCTTTTATACATTTAAAAAAGCACTGGACAGTTGGTGAAAGGGAAGCTACTATGCACCAGAGATGTCCACAGGACAGGGCTACACTGCCCTGTGCCCTGCCCTGTCCTGCTCTGAGCAGGAACAGGGTAGGCCAGGGAAATTGCAGGGCAGGACAGGGTGAGACCTTATACCCTGCAAAGTGAAAACCCAGTTGTTTGGATTTCCTTGCTGAAGAAATTTTTCCTTTAGTTCGCAAGACTCAAAAATAAGAAAATAGACTCCAGAGAACGACACAAACTGATAGTCAGAACTTTCTCTATCTGATCTGGTCCATATAAGCCACGACCCGTTTCCACTGAAGCTGCTCAATCAATAGTAGCCGGTTGGCTCGTTTTTTACGCTCGATGGAGACAAGTGTTTCATGAGTTTCCACTTCCACACAAGCCATTTCAAAATATTTTGTTCTATTCCCGAGATAATAAAATTTTTCTAAGAGCATCCTCATCAAAAATTAACAGATTCGTGATTTTTTTTAGACTTATACTTCTTCAAGAAAATGTTCATTTTGCTTGAACTTTTCAATATAGATTTATCGTTAGTTGAGATATTTCCCCTGAAAATATGAGCTCAAACTGATCGATTATTGATAAGTTGACCTCGAACACCGATAACATTGAAAAAATTCTGTTCTTTTTTGTATTTTGTGGGTGTACATTTTCATTTAGTAGATAATACTGGGGAGCTAAAATTTTAACCACAGAGATCTCCTTGACTACGTCTGATAAAAAAATTTAGCTCTCCTGTTAGTCCTCATCGATCGGAAGCCGTTGCAAAAATGCGATTTTCATCAAAATCATGGTGATCGAGAATCACATTTTTCCTGAGGATTCCATACAAAAATGAAACTAGCTGGAGAACTAAATTTTTTACCAAATCTAGTCAATGAGATCTCTGTGGTTAAAATTTTAGCTCGCCAGTATTATCTACTAAATGAGAATGTACATCCACAAAATAAAAAAAAAGACAGAATTTTTTCAATGTTACTGGTACTCGAGGTCAATTCATCAATAATCGATCAGTTTGAGCTCATATTTTCAGGGAAAATACCCCAACTAAATATAGATCTACATTGAAAATTTCAAGCAAAATGAATATTTTCTTTAAGAAGTATAGGTCTCAGAAAAATCTAATGTCTCAAGAATGTAACAAGATTTTTTGAAACAGTTTCCGCATGAATTCATCAAACACTTGCATCTATCATCATAAAAGTATCAATTGAATCGNTTTCTCTTCATCTCTTTTCTTTGACTCTGAAAATTGGGTAACACACAGACATTTTTCCTGTTGTCACTCAACATAATCAATATGCACCTCGTAAAACTTCATATTCTACTATGAATTACTTTTTTCGAATGAATACATGGGTAATTTGATGTGCTCTACACAATAGTGTCCTCAGAATTATCTGGATCGAAAATCTTCGATTGGTCTTTTTTGGGTCTGATATTCAAATTTCCAACCCAAACGTGAGTTTCAAGCAAAATAAACTTTTGAATCATGATCAGCGTATCGATTACCCACCATCAACTATTTTTAATAAATAAATAGTTTGATTGATATAAAATTCGCCCGGAACAGACATTTATCTAAAAAAAAAATGTCTGTGTGTTACTTCCAATTTTGTTAATAGCTCACTCATTTTTCATGATATTCTTATTTTCTCTTCAGTCAAAGATACTCCTGAATCTAAGCTACAAAACCCTTGTTTGCAAAATGCATTAGCGTGAAGCAATTCGCAGCATTTATCAGTAATTACACATCTACTAGAAACCGAGGACTTTTTTTGTCTGTGCGTTTCAGGCTAGTATTTTACTCATAAAATCTGAACAGTTGAACGGTTAAGACTCAAACTTTGAACTACTACAGAACTTGTTTACTTAAGTATTTGTTGAAAATAACAACGGTTTTTCTCTGACCATTCTCTAGATACACTTGTTCAAAGTTGAAAAAATGTCTGTGCGCTACCTGCGTTTCGGCTGCATAGAAAACTTATCAAATTCAAACTGTTTCGGCTTGGTGAATGTCTAATAAAGATATATTTCAACCGTTATTTGATCCAAGATCGGAAAAATTTATTAGATAAAGCAAAAGAAAAAAAACTATAGGTTACTGAAAATTTTCAACAAAAAAACATGCCCTTTGAACTGAATAAGTTTCGATATTTACAAATAAATTAACATATCTTTTACCAACAACTTCGTTAATCGATAATAAAGGGTACGAATGTTTTGATGTCGATCTCAACAATTCATGACGAGATGGACATCTAGGTCTGTTTTAGAGCGCGGATATCAATTCAAAAATCGGTTAATGTGAGATCTAACCTTGGCTAGATGTATCACACCCAAATTCTCGTTCCTAGAAATCTGGCCGGATTCTTGCTCCCGGAAACTTTGGCGCGTTTGTGTTCCAGGGAGCCCTGTTGGATTCGCGCTCCTGTGAACCCATAGTGATTTGACATAAAGTGAACTCACGGGTTTCTTAGAAATCGACCCCAAAGACCTGGAACTTCGACACTGCTGTCTTTGGAGTCATGTGTAAATGGAACAAATGAACAAGTCTGATACTCACATCTAGATAGCACACATCCACTCTTGAGTGTTCACGAGTTTATGTAGTTACACCGTTTGGACACCGAAGAAATTTAATGTTTTGAACAGTTATTCGTGAAAACAAACGGAAAATAGAAAAGCAAATTCCAGAGACTACTTCAATAATTCTCTATTAGTTTTAATTTGATGATTTTTCATATAGAACAATGAAGTCCTCGTTTCATTACAACGTTAAATGGCAAAGGAAAAAAATATTATTTTCAAAAACTCGTGCGCAAAGCTGTTCAGGACAATTAAGTTTCAATTCATTTTTACAAGTAAAACTAAGTCATTTTGAAAAATAGAGGAGTCTAAAATAAAATCCAACGATTAAAGTTCGTAGTTTAATAGCGAAAATAGTTTTCTTCATTATTTTCATAGTTCATTACTTTATATTAGTTAAATCTATCTTGAAATGAATAGAGAACAAATTATCGTCGACTGTATTAAGTCGCACTTGTCATTTCATTTCATCAACAGAACACGAAGATAATGTTGAGTATTATTTCTCTATTTTAGTTAATCTCTTCTCTCTTATATTAGATATTTGATTCATTAATAAAAATGAATCATATTAACAATATTAGCTGATGCTGCATCAAAACAATTCATTTTTTGTCTTCTTTATAAATAAAAATTTTCAAATGATTTTTTAAAACGATGAAGAAAGTAGAAACAAATGGAAAATCTGTGGAAATCAATTTATCATTGATCAAACTGGCTCGATTTACATGAAGATACTATCTCCATTTGCAGAGACATTTTTAAAACGACAGAACGAGACTTAAATATGAATATATAACATGTTTCACAACCATTTACATTATTCATTATCGCTACAAATCATAGTTTACGTACAGCAATCTATCGGATATTTGGATTGAAACAGTTTTCAGCTATGCTCATGGATCGTTTTCTTTTAAAATAATGACATTTATCTCGAAGGCATTTTTCCTACTCTTTCAGAATCTTTTCCGAAGAATTCTTTTTCTAAATTCTATCTTTCTCGGTTAAAATTTAATATTCGAACGATTATATGTACATCGTATTGCGTATTATTTCATCATTCAAATGTGCACTCTATGTACAACATGAAAGTAGACATCAATCTTTGTTCAATAGTTTTCACACCAAGATCATATTCTATGTTATAGTTGTTCTTTTCTTTCATTCTTCTTTTCAATATATATGTGATTTCCAGAGATGACTACAGATTAGAACATACATCTATCTTGTCTCTCAGCAAGATTGAATAGAGCACATAAACTACTTCTGCCTTGCGATATGTTTTCTAAAGATTTTCCTTTGGTATCTATTGTCATTGGTTGCATTGAATCTGTGCTTGTCAAAAAAGATGCCTAATTATTTTTCTTATTTCGTCCGTAATTATTAAACGTAAATCCAATATTCAAGAATAGATTTGTGACATTTGAAAAAATTATAAAAACCAAAAAACAGGAAGAAATAAAGATATATTCCTAATATTTCTCAGTCGAATCTTCGAGCTTTGTACACACGTGTCAGTATTTGATTTCGTCTCAAAAAATACGAACGAATTTTTAGATTCGTGTTCCTAGGAACCCGGGATCCATACTACACTCTAAAAAAAAATAGATATTTGCGAAAAACAACCAATATAGGTTTCGCAGAGTTCGAAAGTCAACTTGGGTTTCCGAAAATGCATATTTTCTTTTTTTTTGTTTAGTCTGACGCAAAAGTGGACAAGTATATTTAAATGTCTGACCGTATTCTCATTTTGTAGTTGTATTCTTAAAGAATAGAATTCCGAGAAATAGAAATACCTACATCCCTAGCTTTGACCACTGTTCGAAAAACCGGCAGAGATATTGCGAAATAAATCTTTATCCTATTATAAAGAGTTCCTATCAAAGTAATTCTAATATAAAAATTGAAACATCTTGGAGTTCAAAACTGCTTTTGCTATAATCGTCCTTTATTATAAGAGAATTCACAAGTGAATAAATGTATCTTTTAATCGAAAACTAACGACCACAGTACGGTGGAGGTTGACTGCAGCGCAAGAGAGAAAAGTTGTTCTGTATTCATATTCGGTTGCTTTGTTGTATCCATGTGATAAGATCTCTCGTAACGATGAGCACTGACGCAAAAGTATATGGCATTATATTTCTCTTCACGATGCATATATTTCAAAGGATTTCTGTCTCTCCTTAGAATAGATTATAAGACTATTGGCAATGCTTTTTTTTATGATAAAAACGTTTTAACACTATAGTTGAATTCTTTGGTACCAAAAAAATATAAGCCAATTGAAAGAACTATGTCTTCGAACAAAATTTCAATTTTTTGTATCAACTGTAAAACAGATATTACACGATTAAAATTCAATTGGCTCATATACAGAAAAATGCTGTTCTTTCTTTTTCTTTATGTCATTCTTCTATTTCCGTTCCAATGAACACAAAGAAGTCCCCCTTTGTACATACAAAGTTGACGGAAAGAAAAAACGGGAGCCAATGACTAATCATCGAATTGGACTGTGCAGCTATTTTTCACTTTTTATGAATAAGCTCATCTATTCTATTTTATCATGAGATAAGTCATTAGAAGAAAATAATCAACATATATAGGTTGGTCTTTGGTAAAAGCGCCATAGATATAACAAAAGATGAATCGATCTAATGTTCATCTTCTGGATCTGCCGAATGAAATATTACTTACTATTTTGAGAAAATTGAATAATATAGATGTTCTTTATTCATTATTGGACATTAATAATGGACGACTTGACATCATCGCGCAAGAAAAGACGTTCACTAATATTCTCAATTTCGTACATATTGATGAAATTTCTTTAATTGATCGCTTCTGCATGTACATATTACCAAGAATTAATCATAATATCAAATATTTCATTCTTGAACCAAATTTCATGGAACGTATTCTTCTTGCTGCCGTTTATCCAAATCTAACTGAACTTAAACTCTTAAATTTCGAACAACAAATTGCTTCAAAATATTTTACAGGTAAACACTTAACACATGTACTTCATGATTTAGAAAAAATGTTAGATAGAATGGCCTATGGAAAATTTCGTTGTTTTTTCTTTAGATGAATCATCGCTGCGATCTGTTTTTCAACAACAAATTACAAGTCTTATTCTTGTTACTAATGATAAGAGCGCAAGAGTAGGTTCATCGAAAGAGTATACAAGAAATGTATATGCGTACATTTTGAATTTCTTCAAAAAATTAACACATCTGAATATTATTGGACCATATGTTATGTTATGTCCAGGTTTATCACTTCGTGATTTACCGTCGACTACTTTTTATTCTTCAATTTTGACTCATTTATGTATCATAGTAGAAAATTTTGATGATTGTCTTTATTTACTTGATGGTCGACTCAAGCAATTGACGACATTTAATGTTAATGTTTATTCCATAGACACTTCGTCAACAATTGTTCACAACACGGTAAATTTTCATAGATGATTATGAGACAGATAATTACTACTTCACTACATTTTTGCTTTAATGCTATACGAACAACGAAAATTATCAGATAAGTACTGATGAATAAGTGATTGGCATTGAATTTGTACGTACTAAGAATTTGGATTGATCAAAAAATTGAAATTTAATGGTAGAAATAATCATCGTAACATGATTATAAACATTGAATAGAATGAATTCTTTTCTATAGGAACAACCTAATATTCGACTACCATGAACTTGGAAATATAAAGTAACCTACTAGAAAATAGAAAGACAGCCACATCTAGTTATCAACATTGCTGACGATGTGGAAAAACAATTTTCCTCATACGTTCGTATTACCTGTAGAACGTAACCTAGACAGAATGTATATTTCGAAGAAAACAAAGTTGAGTAGAAAATATGACTACCATGACAAGCCATGATGCTTATGATTTAGTCTTTTAGATCAATGAAGAAATTTTTCTTTTTCTTTTCTCTAGGACATGTTACCTAATCTGAAATGTTTCTCATTAAAATCTTACTTTCGAAATCAACAATATGAAAAAATACCATCGCTTCTTCGTCGTATGCCTTATCTGGAACATTTAACTTTATATCTTTCTATAAAAGGTCGAAATAGAATCATCGATGGTACTTGTGTTCAAGATGATATTCTTGTTCATGTGCCACAACTTCATTCATTCACTTTCTATATTAGTACTTATATTGACATTGGAGACTTATCTCATAATTTATCTCATGAACATATCCAGCAAACATTGATAAATATCGGACAACAAAATGCGACTTCTATCATCAATAATCTTGGTACATGCGTAGTTGAATGTTCAATTTTCTCCCTGCCTTTCTCATTTGATTATCTGCTATATCTTGGCAATATATTTCCAAATATTGTATTCAATTATGTGACATATTTACTTGTGCAAGATAGAGACGGATTTAAACATGAATTCTTCGTTCGAATCGCCCGATCGTTTCCATTACTTAAGTATTTGCGTATTTACAATATCAAACCGCAGGTATCAACTGATCCTACATTATCATCTGACCATAGCCAATTATATTCAATGATTGAATATCCGCATCTTATGTCACTTGATGTGGCCTATAGCAATAAATGTTATCTTGAACAATTTCTGAATGAAACAAAGGCATGTGTACCGTGTCTAATCGAATTGGCAATGTCTCAGTATGACTTAAAGATTGTGACAAACAACTTTACAAGAGAAGAAACACGACGGAATTGTGCTAAAGTGAAACAATTAATTTCTATTCAACCATTGGATAATTCGCAAGATTTGTATCATTATTTTCCTTCGTTATAAATATATTCTTGTTTTGTTTGATTGATTCAATAAACTTACACATCTGAAAATATCGGTCAAATTTTCAAAGATTTTGAGTTTATGTTTATAGGAAAAAAACGTACTGCTGAAATACAGAAGCACTAACCGTAAGAAGTATGATCAGTTCATGAAGAATTGATGCGTGATTGTCTGAAAAGTTAGGACAACTCATTTACAGTCGATGAAAATTTGAAATTTCCCGTTTCAATTTTTTGTCTTCTATTGTATTCCGAACATCCTGATCTCCCTGCTTTTATATTACAATCACTCGCACAAAAGTGTTTACAAACTACCGTCACATCTTTACGGATAATAATCATTTCCGAACACTCGGTCACAAGTTCTGATGCTTCGAAGACGTAAGACAAAAGGTAAGTCACTCAACTTTTTGTGTTAGTCGATTCACGAATGAAGGAAAAAAGTGAAATCAATATTGCTGTCGTTGGGCAACACTAAAATTGTGTGACGGAAGTAAAGTATATATAGCATGACGCACTTCCACTTTAAGGGTATGGGCAAGGGTACGTGACGTATAGGCGTTGATGCCGGGCAGTGTGACTAAGAAAAACAATGAATAAACCGAAATTGACACCCATATCCTGACTTTGAATCCATAAATAGCCTTGCTCGAAAACCAAATAGCTTCCAAAAATCTCTTCTTTTGATTTGAAATGGAAAAAGAAATTCTTGCTCAAAGATGCGATCATTAAGCTTGACATCCCAGGTCGAACATTCCGATTCCGGAAACGGCCGGTTCTGTGGTATTCTGGAGATTTCATGGAAGCAGTATTCTGGTGAAAGAATCCGGTTCCGGCCGGAATCGACAGGAACCTGTCAAAGCTGATAGCCGGATACGGTTTCCGGATTCCTACATCGAATTCCAGACACTTCCCGGTGGGTTCCGGTCGGAAACAGCGAGTTTCTTACAGGTTTTCGCCGGAAATTCACGGAATACTGCTTCAGGAATCATTGTCCTGGGTGATCAAAATAATTTTACTATCGATGGATAATCACGAAATGTTTCCAATGGAAATCCAGGTGAGCGAGTGTTTGACCAATTTGTCCACATATTCATAATTGGGTCACGTGCATACATTGATGTTAATCTATATTCACAAGGAATAAGAGAATCTACATATTTTTTACGTTGATCAAATATTCCGATGGTTCCCAATGCTTGTTCTTCATCTAAGTTTTTCAAATCAAATACTTTATAATTGGTAGTGTTCACTATCGTTGCTGTAGATTTATGACTAACCCATCCTAAAAAAACTAGAATCTAATTCGAATTCATTTCCGATTTTCCTTTCCGCTGTTATCGATTCTAGTGTCTGTAAATCATTCCCATGAGTTAGCATGAGTTCATAAGTAGTCGCTAGTTGATCGATAGTATTCATCGTTAAAGTATTGATTAGATTTTCTAATTTTGTTTTATCAATCGATGAACCTAATCTTAAAAATATATTTTGCCGCTTTTCAATATCAATCTGTAACGACATTTCTTGTTTATGTTCACTTATCGTTGTATCAATCAATTGAACATTAGCCGTATTATATTGTTTCATAACATATTTTATCCATTCAGTTTTGTATCCAATATTAATTAGACTCGATACGTTCATTAAAAATGGAAGTGCAACAAATGTTTCTAATGAATATTTTGATGATTTCAATGTTTCATCGAAGTCAACAGTTCCTATGGATCAATTTAGCAATGCAATTGATTTACATTCAATTCGAAGTGTATCATCCTTTGTTAATGTATTGTCATCAAAAACGATTTGCCGAAATAGATGAATTCGATTTGAATCCAAAGCCAATTAATTATGATCGACATTCGTGTCAAATATTAACAATCCATCGGTATATATTTTAATCGATGTTTTATCTGCACTAATGAGTAAACGAATAGATTGATTTAATTTTAGCATTTCTTCACTTTCGCTAGTGCCTTCAGTTGTACTAAGACAAATATGACCCATCGATGTAATGAATATGCATAAGTGCAGCATTTTTGAGTGGATCTTTTTACTACGACAAAAGTTTTATTTCCGTAGAATTGTAAAACTGTTTCATTTAGAGTTTTAAAAAATTTCGATTCATCCATATCAATTTCTTTTTGTTTTTGTTTCCATTTCGTTTCATTTCATTGAATGGCTCATTAAATGGAATTAGAAATTCGTCTGGAAAATATTGTTGATTTTTTCTGAATGTAAATGTATTCGCTTCCAATCGATATTCACTCTGTTGTTTATAATCTGTGGGTACATAAGATAGTCCATTAATAAATAAGCGTCGAATATGTTCGTCTGAAAGTGCATATTTCCATATGACAAAATGTTTTATTCCCACAGAAGTATAATGCAAAAAGTTAAAATTGAATTTTGTCATTGCATGATTATTAAATGCAACATTGATAGTTTGACAAATCTTATTGTCTAGATAGATTTTAATTGATCGTTCTTGTGGATGAATTAAAAGTTTTTGTCAGTTCATTATTTTTATTGAATGGTATTTGTACTGCATGTTGCTCGACGACTTGCAATGTAAATACGAGAATGTCGGACTTCTCATTAGAATCGTTATCAGATTTTTGAAAGTCGAAACTAATCGTAAATGCAAAAGTTTGATCGTCCATTGAAAAGAGAAAACCATCACTTTCTTTCGTCAATTTCAGTTAATGATCATGGATATTTAATGAAGTTTCAGTATGATGGCCATTAATAAAATCACGTAGAAATGTTGCCGATGGTTGATTTCGTGGTGCATAAATAAAGTCTTGAACATCGTCACCAACTAAATAGGCACTGTAGGGATAAGAAACCAGCGAGTCTGTGTTAGGATTTAATTTAGGCTTTAATATTGCCGTGTAACCATCGGGTAATGGACATTCGGTCATGTCTTCTGGACTAACGATTAACTCACAACAACTTGGTATACAAACTTCGAACTCTCACAAGTCTTCCTCTTCCATGTATGATTCTACAGTAACACCAGGAAAAAATGTCGTATTGGGTCCATTTGGTAACAAATTACATTTCCCAGTTGTCGATGCAATATTTTCTTGATGTGCAAATGCTGTACCTAAAAGTTTACCGTTCAACCAATATTTGATTCGAGTATTTTCACCGTTAATTTCAATACCACAACCACAAACATCGTTTTTCTTCCAGCGAACATTGGGTGGTAAAAAAATTAATTGTCCATTATTGTACAACGTACCACGTGATCCATCAAAGCACCGTGAATACCCATCATCGCCTATCCATATACCTTCGCTAGCGTTGGGTGTGAAGCCTGTTGTCGCCCATCCGACGACTTGAGCAAGGTTACCGAGTGGCAACTTAACCCAATAGTATCAAATACCTTCGTCCAGTGCTAAGTTTTCAATAACGAACGTAGAAAAATCTTCAGATTTATAGTCAAGACTCAAACGAATTCAACCTTTAAATCTATGGTTATCGCCACAAGTTTGAATCACTTCTAACTGAGCTACATGACTTGGAAATGGAACTACAGAAATTTCATCGCTACCATTTTGACCCTTCTTGTATAGTTCGATTTCTGCTCTTGATGCATATAACTTCCATCGGTTATATATTACGGCATTATTTGATGATGTGTTCATCATCGATTCGTTTTGTTGGACGTTTGTTTGAATACATATCACCATTGGATCATTAGGATAATTCGTTAGCTTTTGTTTCCATTGTGCCGCCTTATCTTAACTGAAACGGTATTGTTCCAAAAGAGTTCTATTGAGTAGACGCAAATCACTCAGGTGGAAACTCTTTTCTCGGAATCTGTCTGCTATTCATAATTGGCCAATGTATGGAGCATAGGATTTTCGCATAAAAATATCAATGATGAGATTTTGATTCAAGACGCGGTATCGAGCAGTAATACAATAGCGTTTCGGTTGTAAACGACGGAAAGAATTGCTGAGAGATACATCAATCTGTATGATATATCCTAATGTGTCGAGAAGTGAATGAATAGTATTCGATAAAGCGAGTAGACCTGTTGGAGAAACATCGACTTTAATTTCTAGATCATCAATGGCACGCCATTCAGTATAATTTCCTTGTAGATTATGGATTAAGTAAGATAATGTATCGAGTGAAACATGATCCAAAGCAATCCTAACGATATCAATGATAACACCTAAGTAGAATTCATTATTTTCTTTATATTTGCAGATGTTTAAGACTGAACCTATACCATAGGATTCGGTGTATCCACCTAATGTATAAAAATATGCTAATAAATAGTTCCATTGTTTGTTATCAATAGTTTCGAGTGATTTCCAATCGATAGTGTTCACACTGTCGAAAACTAGCTGTGTAGCAATCAGTTGCCATGATGATTTTCGCGACATTCTTGTACGATAAATATAGATTAATTCAGCCACTATCTCGGGTGTGGTTGATGCGTAACTATCACTAATAGAAAATAAAAATTCATGTATTAAATTGTTAATCATTGAATTCGGTATGCTATTCTCAGTTTCTAGTACAGATGGACGCGTAAAATTTTCAATGCAAGTAAAATCGTTGCTCTATTTTGACTATTTCGATATAGGAATAATAATTCTTCAATGAAATCACTAGTTCCACATACTCATCGAGCATGTTCATGCAAATGAACACATCGAAGTAAAAGTGTGAACCATTGATTTGTATAAAGTTCGATTAGAAATTTCGATGATGAGCATTAAGTTGAGCATGCTGATGTTTTATCTTTTTCTGTATACAAGAACCATCCGATAGAACAATTCATCAACGAATGATTCCTACACTCGGCAATCTTGTCTTCGCTATCAATGCTTCATGTTTGTTTCAATCGTCTCAAACCTTTCAACTCATTTAAAACTAATATATTAAATATAAAATCTTGTTCTTGTGCTAATTCTGACCCTTGACTGTTTTGACATGACTTCAACACATAAAGTCGAAATCAATTGTATGCAATTAATTTCCTATGAAGTGAATCGATTGGATCTCGTTGCTCGATGAAACTGACATAAGTATTGAATAATGTTTGAATCATTTGATTATGATATAGAAGATGAATGTCAGTGGATTTATACGATAGATTGAGTAAGCAAAACAAAATTTGTGGTAAAATGGATGAATCGATCGTTTCGTTTGGTTTGATTTTCTTCTTCTTTTTTATTTTCTGTATGTAACCTATGCAACTAGTAATGATAAAATATCAAACACACCCACACCATCAGGCTCCATAGATAAATCAAAGGAAAATTATGAGTAAACGCAAATCACCATATTGTTCTGCAACATATCAGCAATGTACTGGAGTGAAAAGGAATGCTCGAATGAGTTTCCCTTGTTATTGTCACTTATTTCAACTAAATCGTTTTTTGAAAAGATTCTCCATCTGATTCTCAACCAACGAATCCAATAAAACGAAATAGAAAAACTTCATTTTAGCAATATACTTATTAGAGTAATATTGCCAATGTAGAATATTGATGTCCTGTTTCGATGAATTTTCATGAAGAAATCTTATTTTATGCAAGGAGAGTTATCTACTAAAGAAAACACTTTTCTTTTTATTTAAGAAAAAAATTTACATGAGAGGAAAGTTTCATTTTGAAAATTCTTAAATATACAAATAAAATAGATCTTCACCAGTGTTGAAACATGAATCACGCATTACTACTCCAGTAAAGTTTTAATCTTTACTTTTATGGAGTTCGTGTTCATTTTTCTAGAAAATCAAATGTTGAATATTTTGAAAACAAAATTCAGTTCAAAATCCTCTACGAGTAATCAGTCTACCTGAAAGAGTAAATTTTGTCTTTGACTAGAAAAATACGTACATATCTCTACTATATCAGTTTGTGCTAGTTCATCGTTTTCATTATTGGAAAGTTTTTGTTTTCTCAATCATCACCAACTCTCTCTGTGTTGGTTACTATAAAAGCCTTATGTCTCCTTGACCAAATACCAGTATAGATTTTTTATCTAAGAGTCACACAAGTAGATGATTACATTTTTGAAACGTTGTTTTACAGATACAACGACTTTTGTCGAAATCAATTTGTATCGCTATTTCACCTTATTCTCAATCCTTGAGAAAATTCGAATCGTACTTCGTATCGGATTTTGTATTCGGGTGAAACTCGAATACCATCTAGTATGAATTTGTTTTCGTAGCAGCAGATCCATCAGACTATTGCTTTAAGGCACATATAAATTCGGATGAAATACTTGCAAATAATTATGAAAGTGGAGAATTCAACGGAACAAGGATACATGATATATAGAACATGTGTTTCAATAATGGTCATTATTGAAATTATCGAAGAAAATATTTCAATCAGTAAGATGATCTCTAATTGCTTCTAGATTCAAAAGCCCAATGGGAAAACTCATAAATCTTACTACCATTACTTTCTTTAATAATACTTGACTCTTTTCATTCGATAATTGATATTTGTTTCGCTCAGATTTCGATAGATTAAATTATTAGAACAAAACCACTCGCGGAAAATGACATCGCATAGTTACAGGTATTGTAGTTAAACGTGTTTGACTTCATGTAATCGTCATACTATATTCAGTTCGAATGAACTAACACTAGTCAATGAAATAAGTACGAGTAATCGAACTTAACAAAACAAAAAATAATGATATAAATAAGAAATAGATGTAGTAAAAATAAAACAAAATACTATTTTAGACATAGCTTTTTCGGATTCACATTATTCATGGATTTAACAACACATAGAATAATGAATACGATTCTTATTGTATTGATCATGTCTACAAATTGAAAATTACTTCCTTGAAAACACATGTATCTTTTAACCGAACAGGGGACATGATATTCACATAAAGTTCCTCTTAAAATGACGAGAAGTTCCTACGCATAATCATCAAGCTACTCCCTTTTTTTCATTGTAAAAAATCATATATTTTTATTCATTTACTGGTTTCTTCGCATTATGATATCTCAGTGTCGGGAAGCAATTCATTCCAAACAGGATATATATCAACCGGTATGCTCTTGAATAAATATATTCCACTTTTTAAGTGTAACTCTGACAGGTCGATGCTATCATCAACCTGCACAACAGTAAAACTAAAACACATCTAACAAAGAAGTTCTATAGTTTTTTTGTTTCCAAGATGATTGATCATTGCGAATAAAACTGGATGTTTCCTAAAGCGAATTTTAATATATACAAAATGTGTACTCCAATTAATTTAATTCTGATTGAAATTCCATCCTGATCATTTTAAACGCCTTCAATTTTTTTCAGCATATCCTTCATCACTATTGATTTCCGTTATATCATAATCATTAATTGCAGAATTATCATTTGTATAATTATTATTGATGATGCAGAGACTCATTTTATATGAAATCGAAAAGTTACAGATGGTTCGTTTGTTGATTCATCCCTATGCGACTATATTCAGGACGACTTTTTTACCAGAAGGCATAAACCACTCTAAACTTTAGTTATTTCTTTCTTATTCTTTCTATCTAAAATAAAACTTACGGCAACTTCCTTTGTTGCTCATTAACCTTTCTCTATCCATTCCATTCATTAAGTTAACGACGAAACTGCCATCTTTAACAGTTCTATTGAACCTGCGAAACCGTTGATACGGCGGCTTTCGTTGATGAAAAGTGTAAAGACAAGCGGGGGTGTAGTGCTCTGGATCTCCATATGATAAATTGTTTATTACAACTTACCGAGAGGTAAATGTTCTTCACTGATCACATACATGTTGCGATGACGAAATTGTGCGGATTGTTGGAAACAATGATCTGCCAGAGCGACACTTTTCAATAATAAGTTGTTTCATTTTCTTTTGGCGTATCTGTTTATGATCGTCCCGACTAGAGCTACTGCTATTATAGCGAAACACATGTTGCTCCGTTAAAAAATATATTGGGAGTGCTACTCAACGAAAAGTGATATTCGGTAAAAATTAATATGGATTTGAGAGTATACATAATAAGATCGTTCTAATTGTGAAATAGAACATAAGCAACCTATCTTTCGTTTTTATTCTACAGGAGTTGTTTAGTTAGTGAATTAATATTACTGAAGACTGCTGTAGCATGGTATTCGAATACATGTTATTAAATACACTATACCGATGGTGCATTTTAATTTTTTTTGTTGACAAATGTTGCTCTGGCAGGTCGATGTTGCCATCAACCCGCTCAATTTCGTCATCGCAACCTGTATTTGATCAGTTAAAATCTTTTACCTCTTGGTAAGTTTGTAATAAGCAACTTACGTCGCTGGCCTGTAGGACACGAAATTCTTCTCGTTCTGACACATCGCTCACTTACATTCTCCTTTGTTCTGTACGGAAAGAGTAGAGACAAAAACTATTTCGTGCTCTGGACTTCCACGAATAAAGTTGCTTATTACAACTTACCAAGAGATTTTTATTTGATCATGAATTCGGCTTCAGCAGCGTTATTTGAAGAACATGCAAATTTTCGTAAGCGAGAGGCTGATGCAGCATCTTTTCTAGGATCAAGTGCAAAACGTAAAAAAACTGAGAAATCATCATCTTCGTCACAAAAAACGAATCGACCAAAATCAACATTTGGTCGTTCGAAAACATCTACATGCTTTCCAAATGATTATCATACATCAAGTTCGTCGTCACAATCCAGATTTTTAATACTTGCAAAAATTGTCGAAAAGCTAAAAGATTGTTTTCTCGGTGGAACTACTGACGCAATAACCTTAGATGAAATTATACAAGAATCTGAACTTATAATTGAATCATCCGATAAACATTGGCTTGCTTCTGAAGCACTTTTGTCAAATGAAAAAATTGATGTTAAAAAAGTCGAAGGTATTAACAAATTTGTATATAAGTCACCACTTAATTTAAAAGATGGTAAAAAACAAACACTTCTTAATCTTTTAAAAAATCGTCATGAGAAATGTGAAGGTGCTGTAACTGTTGATGATGTGCGAGATACAATTTCAAGAGAAAAAGCCGATAAAATAATTGAAAACTTAATAAAAGATGGTCAAGTTGTGAAAGTAACTAGTAATAAAAAAGAAATTTTATTTTACACTGATCCTGCTTACAAGCTAAAAGTACACCCAGACTTTACTGAATCATGGAGAAAAACATCTGTCGAAGGTTTAGATGATAAGAAGATTTGGGAATTTCTTGATAAGCAAGGATATTATGGTCTGATGAAAAATACGCCACGTCAATCACATTTAACTAACAAACCAAGACGAGGAGGTCGACGTCCTGACACAATGAAGCACAATCAACATGTTGCTCATAAACTAGAAGATTATTCCGAACCATCAGCCAAAAAATAATCTATCGAATATCATTGTTTATTTTTCTTTTCAACGAATATGATCAAGATCAAAACCGAAAAAGTTCATGTTAATTCACTTCCATTTATTCCTTTTAACTGCATTTTCAAAACTTTATTTCAATTTTTTAATTGATAAGAAGCAAACAAGACAGAAAAAGAAAAACACAAAAAAAAGGAAAGAAAAAACAACACTCATATCAAAACGTATATCCCTTTATATATTCTCCTTTCATACTTTCTCCCCCTCCCATATCTCATCACATACCGATGACGTTTCTTTTATTGCATAGGGGTAAATTTAGTACATGG